TAATCATTCGTTGGAGAGATCGTATTGATTTCTGTGCAGAAAGCTGTTGGTCTTGGCTTTTCTTCTTGTTGCTTAAAAGCAATCTCCACTGCTCCGTCTTTTCTTCTGTGAATAGAAGAATCCACTGATTGTATTGGAATACTTCTATCATGGAGTTTCTCATAGTTCGTCACCCATGATTCAGGAAGTAATTTAACCAATTCTTCTCTAGGGATTTGTCTCGGAATATGGATGCATGAAGGGCTATGCTGTGATTCCAGTTGAATGAGCAAAGCATCCTCTGTATCTCTAGGAAGACTGAGATCCATGGCATGGTTTTGAACTCTGTACGCCATCTGATGGTGGAGTGTTGCTGCATAAGTATTTCCGATTTGTGGAGCACCTGTGATTTGGAGCTGGATCTGCATATTCTGGTAGATCTGGGGATCTTCAAGCGCCACGTTGAAGTTTGGAAATAGTGTGACAAAGACAGTACCAGCGTTCAGAGTGGTCTGGATTGTTGCGATGCATGCGTGCTGGTATTCCCTGTATCTGGTGTCGAGAAGAGCGACTCTTGCTACAACAGGTAGACCTTTCCTTCCATGGAGGGTTAAAGCTAGGCGGATTGCTCCATAGTGAAGGTGAGTGTAGCCATGAGCTCTCCACTGGTGAATCATCCCCTCGTTGAGTCGGAGAGGAATCATCTGTTCTGTCTCAGTTGCCGGGACAAGATGTTGTTCAAGCTGAGAGGCTAGAACAAGTTCTCTCGCCGCATGCTTGTGCGGACCAAAGACACTTTTTATGACTTTTGGGAAAGTAGAGTTGGGTTTTGTGAAAGCTTTATAGGGGTTTAATAAAGGAAGTTGGGTAATAGGAACTTTACTCTCATCACTTACATATTCTACTTCATATAGATAATCTATTTTACTAGCGTTTGATTTTCTGAAAGAAGAGGATTTCATTAAAGAAGATGAACTTTCCATAGTGTTTGTAGAGACCAGAAACCATAACAGAATGCTTTATATCTTACCCTACCCTTGAAGTAATAACAAACCTTGAATCGTTTTTCTTATTTCAACAAGTGCTAAGTATATAAAGAAATTAATCAAGAGGTACTTGGCTACGCAAACCGAGGCAAAACTCTTTAACAACCATTGGAGCCTCAAGGTACTTCGAGCCACTATGACCTCACAGATCTCTTTCTTTATACGCTTTTATCTAGCTTAGTCAGATTTCTGATGTGGAGGATCCATAAACATGGCAACCACAGAGCATACTTTCTATACGAGCATATGGTAGAAAAACGACACAAGGATGTATTACGACTTAGGAAGGTAAGAGCTAAAGCTTAGACTGCCATGGCTCTGATACCAAATCTTGGTCAAGCCTCCTTAGGAGAAATATTCCAGACGTCTCTTGCAGCTCTAGAAAAGTTATGCAATCATCAAAAGTTTTTAAAGACGATGCAAGAAGAAGGAAAACTCCTCGGAAGAGCATGTGATCGTCCAGATCTATCCATTAAATGCAAACAGAAGAAGTGTGGATGCTCAACAAGTTACAAAAAAGAAAGAAGATTCACAAAGAAATGGCAGAAGAAGTATCCCCAATTTTCAGGGAAAAAGAAGTGGAAGTTCTTCAGGAAAAAGTCACAAAGAGGTTTCAAGAAATCAGATAGATGTTACATCTGCAAGAAGAAAGGTCATTATGCAAAACAATGCCCAAACAAGAAGAAGAGAGACAATCTACTCGGATACTTGGCCCAAATCGAAGATATCGATGACTCCGACATTGAATCCATTTTCTCTCTTGACGATGAACCATCAGACGACACAATCCTAGCTATGGGTATAGAACAAGATAAAGACTCTTCAGATGAATCAAGTACTGAAGAAGACGCCGATGACCAGTTCATGCTATTTGACCTCTACACATTTGATGCCTGCAAGGTTGAAGAACCGAAAAGGGAAGAATTGGCATTCATATCTCAACCATCGCCCAACGCCAAAATCTACATCTTCCCGACCAAGTATGACAAACCAATCCCAGTCATAGCTTATCTAGACACGGGAGCGGCATCATCCATCATCAAGCCAGACATACTTCCAGCCTCTCACTGGAATCCCTGTTCGGTGGCTTTTAAGGCGGCAAATGGTCAGATTTTCCACATCTCCTTAATCAGTAAGCCCATCTATATCCAACTCTTTCCGGGATACATGATCAAATCTAAGGTATATGGGTCTGAACTACCTGGAAAAGACTTCATACTTGGGTTTGATGTTCTTCATGGTCTCAAAAGAGTATCTTGGCATCCCAAAGGGCTTAAACACAAGAATCATCTACTACCATGGACTACTGTTTCTCATCTTTACCCTATGGAGATTCTCAATCCCGTCAAAGAAGATATCATCAGAACTTCTTGCGCTGCCTCACATTCAGAGTTCCTCACAAAGTGTTCATCACCATTATGGAAGAACCCGGACTTCTTTATATCGTTACCTTTCAAGAAGAATGAAGATGTCAATCCAACCAAAGCAAGCCATCCGGGAATGAATCCAGACCATTACAATTTGGCACTTGAGGAAGTTGACCAACTCCAAAAAGAAGACCTCATTGAGAAAACCACCTCACCGTGGGCATGTGAAGCTTTCTATGTCAACAAAAGAGCTGAACAAGTACGAGGAAAACTAAGGTTAGTCATCAACTACCAACCGCTAAACCATTTCCTTGCGGATGACAAGTTTCCTCTACCAAAGCGAGAAGTCCTATTCCAAAGACTTCCCCAAGCACAAGTCTTCTCCAAATTTGACCTGAAAGCAGGTTTTTGGCAACTTGGAATCAAACCAGAAGATAGACCAAAAACAGGTTTCTGCATACCAGATAGACATTACCACTGGAAAGTCATGCCGTTTGGATTAAAGGTCGCACCTTCACTGTTTCAAAAAGCCATGATCAAGATTTTTGAGCCAATCCTCCCGAACGCACTGGTCTACATCGACGATATTCTGTTATTCTCTTCGGACATTGATTCCCATACAGCACTACTGGCGAAATTTCACAACATTGTGCAACAATATGGAGTCATGCTTTCTGAAAAGAAAATGGCGATTGGAGAAACAGAGATAGATTTTCTGGGTATGCACATCTCTCAAGGAGAATATCATCTTCAGCCTCATATTGCAACGCAACTAGATGAGTTCCCTGACGAAAACCTCTCTTTCAAGCAAGTCCAACAATTCCTTGGCATTGTCAATTACATGTCGGAATTCATCCACGGCCTGGCGAAGCACAGATCGATACTCTCTGCTCAACTCAAGAAAAATGCCCCTACTTGGGATAAAAAATGCACTGAAGCAGTAAAGGAGCTCAAACGAATTTCGAAGACCTTGCCAGCATTAAAGATTCCATCAAAAGGCAAAAGAATCCTACAAACGGATGCAAGTGATTTTTACTGGGGAGCAGTCCTTTTGGAAGAAGATGAGAAAGGTAAAAGGCATATCTGTGGTTACAAAAGCGGAGTTTTCAAGGACAGTGAAAAGCACTACCATTCAACCTACAAGGAGATACTTGCAGTAAAAAGAGGGATAGAAAAATTTGAGTTTCACTTGGTGGGTCAGCATTTCCTCATCGAGATGGACATGTCATCATTTCCTAAAATGATCCAATTCAAGCAGAAGGTCCTACCACAAGCACAACTACTTAGGTGGGCAAGTTGGTTTTCACAGTGGAAGTTCGATGTGAAACATATCAAAGGAAAAGACAATTTTCTCCCTGATTTCCTGTCAAGAACTCAACGACAAATCTCAGCCATCGTCCCAATGATCCTCACCATGAGTCCAGAAAATCCAACGGAGAATACCTTGAGGAATATGATCGCAAGTATGCCACAAGATTTACAAGAGAAGATGCTGGATAATGTTTTAATCTACAGAGGAATCGAGACACTTCATGGTTTCTTGAAGCTCTACATCCATAGGTATGGACTTGACCAAGGACCACTCCTTGGCCTACCTTATCATCCGGTATATCCATTCCTCACCACCATAAACTTGAACCCGTTTCACTATGGAAGATTCCCGATAGAAGCATATCTTGTCCTTTGGTACCTAGCGGACTTATACACTATTGGAGTCCTTGTTCATAAGAAGGAGTTGCTTCAATACTTGGCGAAGTGCATCCTGACCAGAAGGAAGGATCATTACAAGATACTTTACAAGTGGCTGACACTGTTCAACAATGTGACGTGGTGGCAAGAACAGATCCGTGCACAACAAGAGCTATTCATCCTAGTCACTTTCAAGATCACTACAGTCCAAAACCAAGAAGACAATGGAGTCACAATAAAGAAGCTGTATGAGGCACATGTCCAAACAAGCTACGATAATGATGTCCTTAGCCAAAGCGACTTTCACCAAAGGGCAGAGACTATAGCAGCACTGAATGGATTAGACGTGTCAGACCTTGACATAAAGCTCTTTTGTCCTCACACTTCACACTGGCATAACAGAGACGTTTACCCGATGGGATTCGCTGAGGAGATAAGACAAGTACTGGCAGGCTTCCATGATCAATACGCGTGGCCTCACACAAATCGAGATCATCCAATCTACAGGGTTGAAGGGAAAAAATACAAAATCAGAAGATACATTCCAGGACAAAAGATCTACGTGACTGAAGTGGTTTCTGACAGTGAAGAAGAAGACGACAACGACTAAAGGGAACATCACTTCTCTTTTGGAGACAGGGGGAATAAAGATAAGATATGCGTGTGAATAAAGATAAGAATAAAGTTATGGATGTCGTTGTAAGATAAGTTTAGAATATTCTAGCGTGTGCGAGATAAGAAAAGAATACTCTAGGTTGTAAGATAAGAAAGGAATATTCTAAGTAATATTCCCTAAGCATTGTACTATAAATAAGGGAGCTTGGAGGTGTGTTAAACCCAAGCTGAGCGAGTGAGAGTCTTGTAATCATTTGAGTCGTGTAATCCTTTGCAGCAACCGCTTATCCCATTTGGTCCACCAACCCTCTCACAGTCCACTATGCTTGTGAAGGAACTACTTTGCCCAACCACAAATCAATGGGACCCTGTGGCAATCCGTAGACACTTACCTCAGTATGAGGATTCAATCCGCTCTATCAGTACCAGCAGCTTGCGTTTGCAAGACTCCCTGATCTGGTTACCAGAAAAATCTGGTCTTTACACAACGAAATCGGGATACCACCTGGCGAGAAACTCCCCTGTTTTGACCTCCACGTCTATTCATGCCTTCAATTGGAATAAGAGTATCTGGCAAATCAAAGCAGCCCCAAAAATCAAGAATTTCTTGTGGAAAGCCTCTTCTGGAGCGCTCTCTCTGGGATCTAACCTCGCTAAGAGAGGTCTAATGGCGGCCTGGAGTTGTAAGAGGTGTGGGGAAAGGGAAGATGAACTCCATCTGTTCCTTGATTGCCCTTTCGCAAAATCAGTCTGGGATGCTGCACCTATGCAGGTACAATTTTCTGCAGTTAGGGTCCAAAATTTCCAATCCCTGTTAACAAAAGCTCTCCAATCGCTATCGCTTCCACCTACGGGCCTCTTCCTTTCTCCTCTAGCCCCATGGTTATTGTGGAATCTCTGGAAGGCCCGTAATTACCTTATCTTTGAGGATCGCCATTTCTCAGCGAAAGACATCATCATCAAATCGTTAACTGAGGCCAAAGCTTGGCAAGCGGCTCAGCTTTCATTACCAAAACAATCCACTACGAAGGCAGTGCAGGGAGCAAGACAGGAAAACACGGAGGCAGTTAAGTGTTTTGTTGATGCAGCATGGCACGCGACAACTGGGGTTTGTGGACAGGGATGGATCATCTATGACCCCAGTGGTAATGCCCCATTGCGATTCTCGGACTCTCAACACTTTGTGGCTTCAGCTCTTACCGCAGAGGCTCTGGCCCTAAGGAATGCGCTACTGACTATAAAGAATGATCCGCGGCTCGCTACAATCACGAGCTTAGAGATGTTTTCGGACTCACAAACCCTCATCTCAGCTCTCAAATCAAAAGCAAGCTCTAAGGAGCTCAAAGCTATTCTCCTTGATATCACTTGTTTAAGTGAATCTTTTTCCTCTATCGCTTTCAATTTCATCCCTCGTTTGGATAATGTTGTAGCTGATTCTATTGCAAAGTCTGCACTTTTGGCAGCAAACTCTTCCTCCTCCTATGGAGTGTAACCGGTCTCTTCTATTAATCTACTAGTTTGTTCAAAAAAAAAAGAAACTCAAATTAAATACTCCAATACCAGACCGTCCGTATCATCTCATCTTTCAAACCAAGTGGGTGTCACAAGCTTCCCGATAAGCGCTTCCTTCAAAAAATTTTGTTCATCTTAATGAAATTATTGAGCGGTGGTCCAATCCCTCAAACCGATTGTGCTATCTTTAGGATTTTGTTTTTCTATTAGTGAAATGTTTTTAGTAATTGGATTAGGAAATGATAAACGAGCGAAATTAATATGGATGTTCTCATAGGAAATTAATATTTTTTCCCAAAAGAATGAAAAAGAGAGTTAGGTAGCTTGAGTTTTTGATAGGAGCCTCCAAATTCAACATCCCAAAATTGACTTATGACCAATCATGAAATCGACATGTGGGGGTGCGTTATAATCACATTTACTGTTGGATTAAGACTAAGAGTTTATCTTCTCTCTTTGTCACAACTTTAGTATCGAAATTAATCCGATGATTTGTCGTCGAGTTTGAAAATTCTACACACATTTTTCTTCTACTGCTTCTCAATTTAAGCCTCAGTTATGAATGCAATTTCATCGACTCTTAATTACCATCTTGGTGACGATTTTTTTTTTAGTTTAGATGTAGATTTTAAGATTAGAGTTTGACACAAAATCCCATTACAAAAGTCATTGTTTCCAACATATACCCGACTAGATTCATCAGTGAATCCAACATCTAACCGCCTACATTCATCTATGGATTTAAAACTTAAAAAGATCATATATATTTCAGAAATGATATTCTACTACAGTAATATATTTAACTTATTACAACCAATTAGATTAATGCAAGCATGAATTGGCAATAGCCCTCGTGTCCTCTTTATTTTACACAGAACGTGTCTCATTACCTATGTGACTATGTCTATGAATCATATAAGAAATATCTTATTCTCTTTTTTGCATGTTACTCGCCATCCTCATCATAATAGAATTCCATGATCATCCGTCTTATCATTTATTATGATTTCCTTATTTATCAATTATGTAACTTTTATTGTTTTTTTTATATTCCAAAATTATTTACTATCAATAACAAAAACATCTGCATAGTACAAATGGGCACAACTCACAAGAAAATAATAAAAATTATTTCCTCTGTATAAAAAAATTGATTTTATAGAGTTTTCACGCTAATTAAGAAAAACATTTAATGTTTAGTTATAAATGCACAATTTATTCATACCAAACCATTTTTCATAGCTATTAACCAATAGTAATTCATCAAATTTTAAAATTCTCAATTAATGATTCTTGAAATTCATAATTAATAACATTAATTTATAAAAATTTATAGAAAATCAATCTTTTTGATACAAAAATAAAACTTCAAAAATCATTTTTATGATACAGAGGGAGTTTGTTTTTACTTTTTACATAAAGCATCACTAATCTCGTGTAAATAGGATATAAATATTAGAGGAAAGTTTGATCAAACGAGAACGAGTTGCCAATTAGCCTTGTCTATATAAAAGAAACACGACTTGTCTATTACCTACTCCCCCTGTTTCACAAAGAGTGTCATTCTACCATTCTTCACACAAATTAAGAAAAGTAAACAAATTTCTTTTCTACCCTTTATGAATACACTAGATAATACCCTCTCTCTAATTAATAAGCTGAAAAATAGGGATAAAAAAGAAAATTAGTCTTAAAAACTGCATTGAAAACATAAAACGACACTCTTTGTAAAACAAAATTAAAACCTTAAAACGACACTCTTTTGTAAAACGGAGGGAGTATTTAATATTGATATTATTTTTAAATTAAGTAAATAGAAATAAATTTAAAATAGGGGAATTGGAATGTATAACCAAAAATAAAACTTAAATTAACAAACTAACCAAAAAAAAAATGTGAAGTGATATTCTATATATTTACTATAATATATACCAAAATACCCCTTCTTTTTCCTACAACCCCACCATCACCAACCACCATCTCTACCTCTATCTCCAGCCACCGTCGGCCACCACCGAGAACCACCACCGTCGGCCACCACCCCGGCTACCACCACCACCGACCTCCGCTGGCCACCACCACCCCCGACCTCCGCTGGCCACCACCACCCCGGCCACCACTACCACCAACCTCCACCGGCCACCACCACCACCGCTGCTGGCCACCACCACCGCTGCCGGCCACCACCACCACCGCTGCTGGCCACCACCACCGCTGCCGGCCACCACCACCACCACCACCCCGGCTACTACTACCACCAACCTCCGCCGGCCACCACCACCACCACCACCCCGGCTACTACTACCACCAACCTCCGCCGGCCACCACCACCACCACCGCTGCTGGCCACCGCCTCCACCGCCAGCCACCACCACCGTCGACCACCACCACATGCCACCTCCCCTCTAGCCACCACTACAATGGCTATTTTGGTCATTATACTACCCTCTATGGTTAGTTACTATATTTTCAATATTAGTGTGTTAGTTTCTTAATTAATTTATCAGTTTTAGTTATTCACCTAATTCACCCTTTAAAATATATATACTTTTACAAAAAAAAAAAAAAGGTTGGATCAAAAGACTTTTCAAGATGAAACAAAATCAAAGGTCTGTCTCAGTGTTTCTAACGCTTTTAATATTGGCATGGAAGACTCAATTACACATACAAAAGATAAGCCTTGTGTGGTCAAATCTTGAACATATGCAACTTCGACCAAAAGGTAAACGGATCTCTCTCTATTCATTTGAAAGATTCTAATTCCACCAGAGTCTCCGGTCAAAGCCAATCTTCAAACGTTTTTTTTTTCTTTTTTCCAATATAGCAGCAAGAACCAACGACTATTGTACAAATCTTCATCCTCTTCTCTTGTATATTAAAACAAAACCTCCATAGACTATTCTTCCTCTAGAGCAGAGTTCTGTCTGAATCCCCACAAAAGTCAACTTGTATGTCGCAATACCACAAAAAAAAGGACCATACTCGAATTACCACAAAAGGGTAGGAGAATTCTAACTCATCTCCTCAAAATGAAACCAAAGTCTTGATATTTTTAGATCTGAATATCGAAAACACACAAGCTTCTAATCAGAACAACTATGGAGACTGTCTCTGTTTTGCTCTTCTTCTTCCTCTCCCTTCTTGTGGCAGAAGCCAGGACTACCTACGGGAGAGGTTGCGAAGATTTCACCTGCGGAGAATTCGACTTCAAGTTCCCTTTCTTTAGCACAACTATGCCGTCTCGATGCGGTCTTTTCAAGCTGAACTGCAGTGCAAATGTCTCAGAGATACAGCTTGTAGAAGATGGGCGATGGTATAAAGTCAAGAGTGTCTCTCAAGCCAACACGATAACCATCACCGACCCGAGGCTTAACCAAAGCTTGACAACCGGAAGCTGCAGTGACTTGTCAAGCTTCTCTATTCCAGATTCGCCATGGCTCAACTTGACCACTTTGTACAAATGCAACAACAGTAGTAGGAAGAATGGTTTCAGCTATGCGAATTGCAGAGGACAAGGAAGCAGCTTGTACTACAATTTGACAGCTGGTCATGATGATTCAGGGTGTTCACCTATCAAGACTCCAGAGAGCTGGGTGCCTCCAAGAAATGGGAACGAGTCTGATGTAAATGCTACCTTCTCTCTTCATATAGAACTGCCTCGAGGCTGCTTTCGCTGCCACAATAACGGCGGAGAATGTAAGATGATCAAAGACAAGTTCCACTGCGATGGGGAACCAAAGGTATGAACACAATGAAACATGTTCATTACTTCTGCAACTCTGCTTGCAAAACATTTGGCTATATGACTATAATTCGATTTCTGTCCCTTTGTTGCAGAACAAAATGACTACCATCAGGAGATGAGGCTAGGATTAGGTAAAAAAAGATGTCCTGTTTTGCTCCTTTAGTTTCATCCTTCTCCATGAATTACTCAATTTGAATCATTTTCCTCTCTAATTGTCCATAGCTATCGGAGGTCCGGTCATCTTGATAATCATCTTGGTGGCACTCTTTGCTATCATCCATAGGAATTACAGAAGGAAAGATGGATCAGAGCTCTCTAGAGACAACTCAAAATCTGACGTTGAGTTTAGTCATGTCTTCTTTAAGATACCAATCTTCTCCTATAAAGAACTTCAAGCAGCAACAGACAACTTTAGTAAAGACAGATTACTTGGAGATGGAGGCTTTGGCACTGTGTATTATGGTAAGATGATCAGTGCACTAACAGTTCTAAACAAGTGTATAAATCTCTCTGTTAAGCTAATCTTTTCTTCCCTTTTGATCTCAGGAAAAGTGCGTGATGGACGAGAAGTTGCAGTGAAGCGTCTCTATGAGCACAATTACAGAAGACTTGAGCAATTTATGAACGAGATAGAAATCCTCACACGTCTCCATCACAAGAATCTAGTCTCCCTCTACGGATGCACTTCACGCCGTAGCCGAGAGCTTCTCCTTGTCTATGAGTTTATTCCAAATGGCACAGTTGCAGACCATCTCTATGGCGAAAACACGCCACACCAAGGATATTTAACATGGTCAATGCGCCTGAACATCGCCATAGAAACAGCGAGTGCATTGGCTTACCTTCACGCTTCGGATATCATACACCGTGATGTCAAGACTACAAACATTCTCCTCGACGGGAATTTCGGAGTTAAAGTTGCGGATTTTGGGCTATCCAGGTTGTTACCGAGTGATGTAACACATGTTTCAACTGCTCCTCAGGGTACTCCGGGATATGTGGATCCTGAGTATCATCGGTGTTATCATCTAACTGATAAAAGTGACGTGTATAGCTTTGGAGTGGTGCTTGTCGAGCTGATATCGTCGAAGCCTGCTGTTGATATAAGCAGGTGCAAGAGTGAGATCAATCTATCAAGCTTAGCTATAAACAAGATACAGAACCACGCGACCCACGAGCTAATTGATCAGAATCTTGGATATGCAACAAATGAAGGAGTTAGAAAAATGACTACAATGGTGGCAGAGTTGGCTTTTCAGTGCTTGCAGCAAGACAGTACAATGAGACCCACAATGGAACAAGTTGTGCAAGAGCTAAAAGGAATCCAGAATGAGGAGCAAAAATGTCATACCAACGATCACAGGGAGGAGACAATAACTCTGCACCCTTCGCCACCAGATTGGGGTGAGGCTGCACTATTAAAAAATATGAAATTTCCACGTTCACCAATCTCTGTGACTGACCAATGGACAAGTAAATCAACCACACCGAATACGAGCGCCTACGAATTCTAGGATCCACCAGGTATTTTTCTTTCTCATTTGTTTCAATGGAACGATGTAAGCTGAGGCAGAGAGTTGTGAAGCAGTAGGTATCGAGAGAATGTACATAGTGACATAACTTGCACTAGTACCAATCACCAATTTCTATGTCTAATTTTGTCTAGTGTATGTAATATTGACTCAAAAGGTATTTATAAAAAGAGAAAAAAAATTGACAGTAAGAGTTAACTTGACTTGCATCCACAGCTTCGTGATGATCTCAGTGGTATCTATCTACTGATTCCAGGCCTATCTATCTTGTTAATCACCGGATCTGATACCAGAAACTAATTTGGATAAATTATCGGTATAAAAGGCAAGATTCCTAAGGCATCCAAGAAAAATATCTCTAACCAGAAACACATGCCTTTCCTCAGTGATAGTTGTTCCTTCAACGTGCTAGAAGCTTATATAACCTGGGGAAGAAGATCCCATTACCTTGTGGTAATGATGCGCCAGTTTTAAGAAACAAGAAGGAAATAAATCCTCTTCTTTTTCATAGTTTCAGTTGCCTCTAACATCTGTAGTGCCCACAAAATTCCATCCAAAGCATCTACTTTGACATTCCCAAATCGCTTTCTAGAAACCCCACAACCTGCAAATTTGCACATAGAGAGTGTGAAACAGAGGGATCTCAACTAATATTTCTTAGAATACCACAACGAATATGATCTTCAAATACTCGCCGATCATCAAAAGGGCCAAAAAAGTAGTTTATTGATAGTTTACACATTTGTTAGAACGACGAGAAAAGGTTACAACTCGATCACCGCAAGGGAAAAAATTACGTAACTGGAACATGGCATTGGAAAAAAAAAAACCTATGAAGCATGGCTTGAGTCTGAAAAAGCTTTATTTGCTTCCAAGAGGGATAGGGGGAGTGCTGAGCTTATTAGATTGAGTTTGTGATTCTCTCAAACCCATATCTTTCTCTTCTTCTTCTCCTCGTCGACTAACTAAACTCTTTCTTTCTTCATCTCTTCTGTGATCTTCTGATTTATTAGTCTCTGGTGGCATAACTTGTCGGAAAAATCTAAGCATCATCTCATAGGTTGTAAATGTAATAACTGCAGATGGAGTTGTCCTCAACAGATTAGTGGCACATCCACGGTACAACCCAGGAATCCCTTCGCTTCTAAACACCTTCGTGATACAATCAATGACTCCCGAATACTTAGTCTCAGCGTTTTTCATTTGCCCTTGTTCTTGAAGCTTGGCCCTAATTACCTGTGGATGTAACATAAACCCATTTAAGAGTTGGGTCAGTTAGTTATGAGCTTAAGAGTGAGGTAAGGAGAACACAATAGAGAGGAAGAAGACAGACCTCGTGTGGGTAAGTCAAAACAGAGGCGATCACTTTCGCGATTGAAGAGGCAATAGCAACATTCCCAGGACTCAGATTCTCGACTGATGTATTATCTGAGAACTTTAAATCGCTCTGATCAGAAACTAGTTGGATTTGGGAACAGCATATGATTAGTAGCAATATTTTGCAGGAGGAATCATGCTTTACCCATGTTTGCCATGTATTGCTTGATCTTTTCATAAGCTGGAAACTGGATCGCGACATGGCTTACTCCCGCCAAAGAAGGTAAAATGCCACTGTTCCAACACAGGGAAATTTAACCCATACATCTAAAGTTTAACATGAGCATGGAATGTCCCAAGGAAAAGGTGTTCACATTTACGGAAATTCCAGTTACATTTAAGATACTAACCTGTATAGCCCTCTCAATCCTTCTTCATGACAAATCCTACTAAATGCAGACATTACACTTTTGTAAGGTACTACATCCGGTCTAATTCCTTGTGTCTGAGAAAACAGGGAAGAGATTAGGTAAAGTATAGTTAAGCTGAAACTAAAGAAAGAAGACAAAAGTTACCATTAATCTTGTCTTGACAACCCAAAGCGGATTAGTTGCAATAGATGTAGCAGCTCCAGCACCAGCAGCAGCTACCATGTTTGACCCAATACTAAGCTTGCCATCTATCAGGTAAATAAAAACAGCTGAAAGATCGGATGACAAGACTTGGTATACAATATTTGGGCAAATATATCTGATACTCTTTGGTTAAGCACAAGCAAAAACAAAGCACGAAAAGATTTGTAATTTGTAAGTAATGAGAACCAACCACTTGACTGCAGCACATCCTTTAGCTTCCCATAAACTGAGAAGTAGACCTGCGCGTGGTACCAGAATATTGATTAAAGGAAAGAACTAAAGATATCTAAAAACAGATGAATATCGATTACAAATATAACATATCTCCAGGAGAATGTTGGGCAAGTAATCTCTTTTATGACAGGATTCACTTGAAGACACAAAGCTCGGGAGAGAAAAGTGGTGCTTACAGCCCAATTTGGGAGGAGAGCTATGATGGTTGGTGAAAGCCCTCGATACATTCCCCTATAACCTTCTTTCTTTACTATATTCTTCAGACTGGTAATGATTACACCACCTGATATTACAAAGAGATGTCGCTAGTTAACACCTATAGGCAACAACTCAAGAGAGAGTCTTGATCAAACATGCAACAACTTCAACAGAAACAAAACTACTTGCATTTGCATACACACAATCTGATATCATCACATTAGATCTACAACTACATATTAAAAATTTAAAACTACTTAATTCTTACACAAATTAAGCTCAGTTTTTTGAAGCAAGTAGTACCTCTTTGACCAGAGGCTGGAGTTTCAGGGAGACCAAGAACCTGTAACCTTGTTTTGATCACATCTAATGGACAAACGAAAGTCGCCGCGATAGCCCCTGAAAAAAATCCCCAAATCAACCAACAATCAGCGACCAGTCATCCACAAGAACCAACAGAAGAAATTGAGAACAGAGAATCGAACTGACCAGCGGTGGCTCCGGCGCCGGCGTTTGCGGCGACCTCTCTAATACTCCGGTAATCAAAGGTCGAGTTCCCATGTTCAATCATCTTAAAAACCTAAAATCTCTCAATTGGGGGGAAAATTTAAAGGAATCTGACTCAAAATTGAAAACGAGATCCAGCAGTAGATGATAATAAACTCGGCCGCGAGAATCGATGAATATATACAATCCCCGTCGTTCTTGACATTGACCCGACCCGGAGAAAAAACCGAACGTGTAGACGGGTAAAGGAAGAGACTTTGTTGCGTACGATTTAGGCGGTCCCAAGTCGAACGAAAGGATCGATTTTTTCTTTTAGATTCCGAAGAAGAGAAAGCGTCGTCACAGTTGGTTTGAGATGACGTCACGCATTAACAACACACACAACCCAAGAAGAGAGAAAGTTGAACACTTTTGGCCTCTATCTGATTATGTAGTTAAATCTGATCGATTTCGGTATAATCTGATCAGACGAACTTAAACCGGTAACTCAACAGTTTAACCGATTTGGTTTGGGTCCGCTCAAACTTTGAAAAACAAATAAAAAATAATAAATAAACTTCATCGGCGACCAGCTTCACAGTTCTGTAATCAGATTCTGCAGAAATGGGAAATCTGAAACTTGCTTTGATCATCAAGAACCCTAGAGACGACGTTACGTTCCTGCTCGAGAAGCAAAAACAGCCGGCAAAATTTGGAGATGAACATTACGATTCCTTTGTTGATTCCGATCTCTGGGACTTACCGTCAACAGATTTACTGGTTCTGGAAGACGGAGTCAGGTCTGGATTTACTATCTCTGTACTTGAATCATGTTTGGAGGAGGTTGATTTGATGAATTTCGACTTCGAATCCACCCTGATTCTGGTGAGTTATTGGAGTAGTAGCACAGTTCTCTTTCTCGCGTTTTTCTCATTGTTTCTGCGAATTAATGATTCGAGTTAATGCAGCTATTGGCGAATTTAGGGATTGATTTTAGCGATGTAGGAGAGTGGAGATTCGTCAGGTCTGTAGAAGAGCCTGAGTTTGGGCCTGACTCTTGCGTCCGTACTTGTTTTATCGCCGGGAAGCTCTTGAATACAGATCAAAGTTTACAAGGTCGCCCTTAATTCGATAGTATACAATCTTTATCTTTCTTGATTTCCACATCTCCAGAGCTTATGGAAATAGTAAACTTACTTGTTTATTTTGTTTTAGTGCAGACAACTGTAAGTGGATGTCCATGGAAGCATGCTTTGCCTCTCTTATAGATGTAAAACCTGGCAGTGATCGTGTTGGACCATTAGTACTACTCGGATTTGGGGATGATTCACGTCAGTCCTTGAAGCATAAGTTGTCATCTTCTCTGTCTATCCAGGTCTCTTGTTGCCAGACTATCTAAGTATCTATACTTGTCGTCTTCTTCTTACTTCATCAAAGTGGTTTCATCTTGTGATGTTTATCTTTATTAGAATCCTACTTTTCTATGTCTTTATTATCTCAGGAATATCCACCTGGTGTTATGCTTGTGCCAATGCGTAGCAGGACATTGAAACCTTTCAAGACAACAAATTTGGTTGTGTTTTCTCCAGAAAATGGTTCAGGGGATCATCAAGGGACTGATTTTGTAGCTCATGGGGATGCGTTGATAGTGGATCCTGGATGTCTCTTTAAACTCCACGTTGAGGTTTGTCACTAGCTAGTACCTATGTGCTGTTTTCGCTCTTTGTACTATATTCTTTTCGAATGGTACAAAAAATCATCTCTTCAAGATATGGTCTGTACATTTATCATTTTAAACTATTCACAACTGCATTTTTTTTTTGTCTTAACCAGCTCAAGAAAATCGTTGATGCTTTACCTAGAAAGCTAATTGTCTTCGTTACACATCACCATCGTGATCATATTGGTGGTAAAGATTTGTTTTTTCCGTCCTGGTTTGGTGGCTTCTTTTGTTTATGCCAATGTTCTTCATCTTCATCTGTATTTCAGGTCTTTCTGCTATACAAGAGAGCAATCCTGATGTTATTTTAGTGGCACATGTTAAAACTAGGCATCGCATTGGTATCATCATTCTTCAATATTGTTTTCCATTCATAAAACCAAACTTCTTATGTTCGAATACTCTGTGACTCCAGATGGTTGGTCTGGTAACTATACCCCAGTTTCTGGAGGAGAAAACATCTATGTCAATGGTCAGAAATTGACCGTTATTTTTGCTGCGGTACCTATCCAGCTATTTTAAATCCTTAGATGGTCCTCAAATTTGCAGCTCTGATGGAAACTATACTTCTTTAATAAACTCTTAACCAAGAAAAATACTCCAGGGACACACAGATGGCCATATGGCACTACTTCATATCTCCACTCAATCTCTGATTGTTGGTGATCATTGTGTTGGGTAAGACAAGCAACTAAAATTTATGTTGCTATAGGCTAATTCAAATTGGTGAAATTAGATTAACTCAAGAAATGTTAACTCACCATTTTGGGTTGTTTCAGTCAAGGAAGTACTTTCTTGGACATCAGGGGAGGTGGTAACATGACAGTAAGTACTAAGTATGCTCAGACTGTTTTGTGTTTTGAATACTTCAATGCCGAACTTAGTGTGAGGTTTTACCTGTGATAGATTGGGATGTTTTCTAGTAGCGTTTTGTTATCAAATTTGCTCTTTCAATGTTAGGTGTTGGGTAAGATAGTAAATGCATTCTTTATTAGTTTGTTCGAAATTTGTTTAGTCATTTACCGAGAGTTCCTTAATTTCTGTTTTATCTTTGCAGGAATACTTTCAATCGACATATAAATTCCTGGAGCTTTCTCCAAATGTGGTGATTCCCATGCATGGAAGGGTCAATTTGTGGCCGAAACACATGCTTTGTGGATATCTCAAGTATGAATAAGAATATGCTGAAGTGGATAAATCTGATGTTTGAAAACCTGTTAATGTTTTGTCTATCAGTTGATCAGATAGAATAGAGTGAACTTAATAATACATTGATCTTGTTTTTCAGAAACCGCAGAAGCAGAGAAGAATCAATCCTAAAGGCCACTGAGGATGGAGCTCATACGTTATATGACATTGTTGCTAACGTGTACTCAAGTGTGGATCGCAGATTCTGGTGGGCTGCAGCATCAAACGTTAGGCTGCATATCGACAAGCTGGCTGTAGAAAACAAAATACCAGAGGTAAAACTCTTCTTTAATTCCAAATGCATACAAAAACTTACATTCTTAGGAAACATATCTCAAAAAGACAACCTTAGAAAGTTCGTAACAAAGTTACTACCACTGCTTCACTGCTTATTGTATTGATTTGATCCAGGGATTCTCAATCCAAAAGTTCAAAGCAAGTTGCGGATTGCGTTTTGCGATACGGTGGACAGTGGGTTATATCCGTAGCAAGATTCCGTTCAAGATCAATAAGCCAGGTTTCATTATGTCAGTGATAGCTGCAGGAGCTGGATATTTTCTTCTGTACACTTCCAAAAAGAAGAACCAGATTAAATCTTGATGAGTAAGTCATAGTAAAAGATTGTGGGATCTAAAAATCATATAAAGTGTTAGTCAATTTGGTAATAACCTGTTTTAAGAACTTCGACTTCATTATTAGAGGTAATAATTAAACACTTCAAAATGGAAAGTTGACTACTCAAATTTGTACTAAGAAATTCTAAACTGTCGTTTCGATAAATATGGAAACTTCTCAAATTCATTAATAAAATATATTTTTAGTTGACTTTTATCAGATAATTGTATATTCACATTCAACTGATTTTTGAGATTTGTTTCTCGAGCAAGAGATGTCCCAGCTTATTATACCTGGATGATACTTTAAATTGATCCTCTGAGAAAAGCGAGTAGACTTTGGAATTTCTTTTTTATTTTGTGTAACAAACTTTTCTCTAATGCATATAGATTAGACCTAAGATATTATTAAGGTAACCGAATTATAGATTCCTAGAAGCCATTAAATTTTCGAAAAAAGGAAATTGGTATTTTTTTTTTGAAATTGACCTAGTAAAAAGTGTAATTAGAAAAGGAGTAGAAAAAAAAAAGGAAACAAAAGGCTTCGAGTGAGATTGTGCAATGGGTTAAGATAAACGGTTAAGATGAAACATAAAACAATCCAACGGCTATTAATTCACCGACTAACTTGAAAATGGAAAATGTTTTATGAACCCGGGAAAATGTAAACCCCCTATCACGTGCGCATTTTAGCGACTATCTAAACAAATGACCGAAACTACCCTCCGATGAGAATTCTGGTATATATACACGAAGCTTTGTATCATAACAAAAAAACTAAGCCGAGAAAATAAAAAAACAGCACCGCCGGTAACAGTTCTCCGGCGAATCTGAAAAATAACGATTTTTCTCGAGTTTGTTGACAGAAGAGATAGAGATTGATTCGTTCCTTGTTCTTTGATCGAATAGAGTAAGTGCACCAGAATCAATGGTATTTCCCGGTGAGATGGCGGCGACGACGACGACGAGACCTGAGCAACGATCGAAGACTCTTCACAATTTCCCTCTCCCGAACTTATGGGGGAATCAGAGACATCTCAAGTGCATGAAGATCGACTCTATCAGCAACGGAGGTTCCGGCGATCACCGACTACGACGCCGATCTCCGCCTTTGAAATTCGCTGATTCTTCCGTCTCGATCCCGTTTCGATTCGGCAACTCCGATCATCGCCGACCGTTTAAATCGGGAAGCGAAGAAGGGATCGAAGAGTTCAGGGTGAAGATTATGTCGGATCTGAAGACGGTGAGAGATAAGATCACACAATCGATGTTTAACAAAGACGTAATCGAAGAGGAAGAAGAAGAAGAAGATATCGACGGTTCTGGTTTCGGTTCCGGTCAAGAGAAGGAGGTTTCTCCGGTGAAGCCATGGAATCTAAGGAAGAGAAGAGCAGCGTGTAAGGAACCGGAATCCAACAGTTTGAATCATCAAATCAATAAAGGATTTGTAATTGAGGAGAAGATAGTGAAGAATCATCCATCTCCGGTGAGAGGCGGCGGAGTGGTCGAAGCGGAGACGACGAAGAAGATACGTCCTAAGTTCTCTGTGAAGCTATCGAAGAAGGAGATCGAAGAAGATTTCATTGGGATTTTAGGTCACCGACCACCGCGTCGGCCCAAGAAACGGCCTAGAACTGTTCAGAAAAAACTCGATGTAAGTCTTGGATTTTGCAATTTTGGTTGAAAGATTTGAAATTTTGTTAGATTTTTTTCTTCTTGAAATTGAAATTTGGATTCTTTTTGTTTGTTTGCAGAGTTTGTTTCCTGGATTGTATTTGACTGAAGTGACGCATGATGCATATAAGGTTCCAGAAGAAACCAAGGTATAATCATCATCATCACGGATTTTAAAAAGCATGAGACTTTTTTTCGTTTGAAAGATTCTGATTCTCTGATGCTTTTACAGAATCTGCAGAGATGATGATGATGAATTTGTGTAATCTGGAATTGAGGGTCAAGTTCTTGAAGCTCCTTCTTCCTCTGCTAATTGTCTTTTTTTTTTGTTCTTAATTAATTCTTTCTTCTCAATTGTTCTGAATAAAATTGTACAAAAAGGTTATGGGAATGTTTAGGTTCCGGTTGATTAATACATAATAAAGTTTCTTCTTTCTGAGCAAATCTTGACTGTTGCGAGGGAGAAATTCTTTTTTGTAGCTTTAAGTGTTCTCTGTCGATCTCAATCTCAATCTCAATCTAAATCTCACATGTGTGCTTAATTAGTGTGATATGATTAACTAGTGAAAGCAAACCAAGATTTGTTTTGAGTGAAATTGATGCACCGACAGAGGAAATTCCAAAATTCTTGTGTGTGATGATTAGACAACAAAAGGCTTTGTCTTTTGTTTTCTCTTTTCATCTACTTGTGTGCATTAAACTGACGAGGAACAGAATAATGTGTGAAGAAGAGAGTTTTATGGTTCAATGTGTTTGAGATTGAGTCAAATAAGGAACCTTTGAGATTCAAGTCAGTGCAAGGACAATGATTCCTCCGAAAAGCTGAGACCAATTTGGTTTTGTGGGGTGTGTTTTGTTTTCCCGCGTTGGCTTGTTTCCGCTTTCGTGAGTTGAGTCTTTTGACTCGTTCTTTGCTGGTTCACTTCTTCCGGTTTGGTTTTTTATGTGGTTAACTAATTGCCGTGCTTAACTTGACTCTTCTTTAATAGTGGGTTCAAGTTGACTCGGTATGTATTACTAATTTACTATGTTGAATCTATGGCCAAATATATAATTCAACTTTGTAATAATCAGATCTCTTAAGAATTGTGGGCCTTCTGGACAACAAAAAAGCCTTAGAATTGTTGGTTCTTTTGGTATTTATGTATGCGTATTGAACTATGTGATTTAATACCGTATACGTATTGAACTAATGGGAGGATTGGTTTCCTTGGGAAGCAAGTATTATTAGGGTATAAGGGATTTGCTAGAGGAGATGCAGCAATCTGCAAGAACAATGAATATGGTATGTCTTCAACATCTGACTCAGCAGGATTCAAGAGCTGTTCTCCTTGAGTCTCTTTATTTACTGGTGCTTTCTCCTTGCAAAAAAATGTAAGAATGATAGTCTAAATGGAATTTGCCAAACACGAATCCCTCGCCTACCAGAAGTTACCACAAGAACACTCGCCATTCCGGAAATGATGAAACCTCTTCCTGTCTCTCAAAATAATGTCTCGCTGCACCACTCGCGATAAGAACCTGAAGAAATTGTGACAATCTCCGCAAGTCCTTAAGTTCTTGAAAATCCTAATGGTTGTTCCAGGAGGAAGTTTCATTAGCCCAAAAGCAACCGCAATCTTCTCACTATGAGTAGTCAACATGTCTTCCTTGTGACCATCAGACTCTACGTCGTGCAACACGAAGCTCGTGTCTGGTACATACCCGAGTCTCCTCATCTCTTTACCCAGGTCTTGAAGATACTTGTAAACAGCGTCTGCTTCTGGATGTGATGTATCATCAACCAGAAATGTATGCACTTGTGTCTCCATTTCAATCCAACTACAAGCCACTTCCTTTTTTACCCCTCGATCCCGCATTAGTTTACGTACCCTTGCCACTTCCTCCCACTGGCCAGTAGCTGCGTACATGTTCGATAAGAGCATGTATGTCCCATCATGTTCTGGTATGAGACCGAAGAGTTTGTCTGCAGCGATGATCCCTAGATCCATGTTTCCATGGACTCTGCAACCAGAAAGAAGAGCTTCCCAGATTTCTGCAGTAGGTTTGAAAGGTAATGATTCGATTACACTTTCAGCATCAGTGAATTTCCCAGAACGACAAAGCAAATCGATCAGCCTTGCGTAATGATCTGCACCTGGAGGTATACAGTAAACAGTCTCCATAGAATCAAAATATTTCCGTCCCTGGTCGACTAAACCCGCGTGGCTACATGCTGTCAAAACTGTAAGCAACGTAATCCGATCGGGTCTTATCCCTTTCTTTAACATCTCCTCATACACATCTACTGCTTCAACACCATGGCCATGCTGTCCCAGTGCAGCAATCAACGCATTCCACGAAACTGAATCCAGACAAGGCATAGTTCGAAACACCTGTCGAGCTTCCTCCACAACCCCGCATTTGGCATACATAGTAATGAGAGCGTTTCCAGCAGAGAGGCTAGAGTCAAACCCTATTTTAACCAACTGTGCATGGAACTGTTGCCCGTTGCAATACGCTCCCAACACGGCACATGATTTGATTGCCCCAGAAAACGCGTAATCACAAGGCTCGAAACCTTCTCTCTTCATACAAGAAAACAGCTTCAAACCTTCTTCTCCAAACCCGTTTTCAGCTAACCCAGATATCATTATCATCAATGATAGAATATTCTTCTCTTTCATCTCTTTGAAAATCAACTTCGCCTCACCTATGTGCCCAGAACTAACATACCCTGACAACAACGCATTCCAAGAAACCAAGTCTTTTGCCGGCATTTTCTCGAAAATGGCTCTTGCCTCATCAAACTTACCGCATTTGTAGTATAACGAAACTAACGAATTGTCAAAATGAAACGAGAAATCCTCCCTTCTTAATACATAAGCATGAACTTGCTTTCCCAACTGAAGCAATCCAGCAGTGGCACACGCCCTTATAACGCTAGGATATGTAAACTCATCAAGCTCAATTCCTGATGAAACCATCCTTCTAACCATCTCCAATGCCTCCTGATACAAACCGCAATTAACATAACCAGAAATCATAGCATTATAAGCAACCAGCTTCATATTTTCGTCCATCCCCTCAAGCAACTCTTTCCCTAAATCAAAACAACCATTCTTTACATAACCCGTCATCATAGTCGTCCACGACCTCTCATCTTTCTCAGGGATCTCATCAAACACTTTTCTAGCTGAATGTAGCAGAGACGGCGAAGAAGCACATCTCGAATACACAGACACCAGAGCGTTCGAAACCGAAGTAATATAACCAGCACCAGATTTCAAAGCTGCGGCATGAAATTGCACACATTGCTTCTCATCATCGACAACTAGCGCTAAACCTGCGAGAACACTTGCGTAAGTGAAGTTATCAGGTTTGAATCCTTCATGCTTCATCTTACAAAACAGGTTAATAGCAGAGTAGCCATCATTGTTATGTGAGAAGCCAGTGATCATCGCATTGTACATCACAGTATCTCGCATACTCACAGGAGTCTCCTCGAAAACCGACCGAGCGAGGGCGATGTCCCCAGAAGCACAATACCCGGAAACCATGGTGGTTCTAGCGATTTTATCTGGTTCAGAGATTTCATCGAACAGTTGGCGTGCATAATCAAGCTCTGACGATTTACAATAAACATCAATCAAACGGTTCAGGATATGGGCATGTGGCTGGAACCCGAAAGTAATGATATTCCCATGGACAGCTCGCGCGAGTTGCAGAGACGTTCTTCGGAGCGGCAAACAGAGGCGGAGATTCGCGGCATAGCGGTTGGCGATGGCTCGGACAAGGTCTGGATTCGGTTGCATTTCATGTTTATGGTTCGGTTCGAATTTTCAAACTGTACCAAATCTATCTCGTTTTTATATTAGCCATCTACGGTTTAAATTTAACCAAATGCCCAATCAATGAATCAATTCACTCCGGTTTAGATTTCCGTCCAATAATTCGGTTACATCTGGTTAAAAGAAAACCGCGTCTTCTCCGCACCATTAAACCCTAAGGAGGTCTCATTTCTCGTTTCTGTTACTTTGTCAGCTTCGTCGCCATGGTTCTCAAAGACGATAACTCCGAGAAATCTATCGAGCTCTTCCTTAGCATTGGTTTGGAAGATAAAACAGCTCGTAATACCATCAACAACAACAAGGTCACCGCAAATCTCACCGCCGTTATCCACGAGGTGTGTTCTCTCTTCCTCCTCCTTATATGTGTTCGCTATCGGTTCTTATCGTATCTGATGAAATTGGATACAAGAGGACTAAGTTTTTCATGATCCTTTGAGAAAGTCTTGCTTTCTTTCAATCTGTTGACTAAATCCAATTTTGATGTAATCTCAATTCGAAATGTTTAGTTTGATGAATTTGACTCCGTTGCATGTATGATTCTGTTGATGATTTGATCTTTTACCTCATCAATTGGATTATCGAAACTCGCTTTTCATGAGGCTTTATCTTGTGTACAGGCTGCTGTTACTGATGGGTGCGATCGAAATACTGGAAATCTTTTGTACTCGGTGAGATATATTTCTAATTAAACCTAATTTGCCTTGAAATTTGTTTCAAATGCTTATAAGGAACTTATTGAGGTTATGTTTTCTTTGCAATTATGTGTAACAGGTCGCTACTAAGTACCCTGCAAATGCTCTTGTGCATCGTCCTACATTGCTCAAGTACATTGTTACCTCTAAGGTTGGTGTATAGATCCCTGATTGATAGTTTCTGCTGCTCGAATGTTATCTGTCAGAACTTGGGTTAGGTTCTGTTTTGTCAATGGGAAACGGGCTAAAGTTGTGTTGATTCTCTCTGTTTATGAATCTGTAGATTAAAACTCCAGCACAATTGGAAGCTGCATTTGCCTTTTTTGCCAATACCGGTTCTGAGGACTTTAAGCTGAATGAGTTTGAAGAGGCATGTGGTGTTGGTAAGCACTATTGTTTATGCGAATATGAGCATGTATTATATTTCTTACTTTAAAGCCAATGTTTGTAGGGTTGCTGTTTTTCTTTATCAACATTATGCTTTGAGGTTACATTTTGCTGTGTGTTTTCCATGGATTTGGAGGTGAGATCTTCATTATTGCTTTGGAACAGGGATTGAAGTTTCCCCAGAAGATATTGAGAAAGCAGTTAAGGGAATCTTTGAAGACAATAAGAAAACAATATTGGAGCAGCGCTATCGAACTAATGGTTAGTGTTTGCTCTATACCTCCCTGTCTAAGGCATTCGGTTATTTGAGGCATATCTACCATTGTGCTGATTCTCTATAATTTGTCACATAACCGGCTTATTATGTTTCTTGGTTGAATGATGTATTTATGTCTGTGTAGTGGGTGAATTATTTGGACATGTCCGGAAAATTTTGCCATGGGCAGATCCCAAGATTGTAAAGGTGCGTTAACAATTTTTTTAGCAGCCTGTATTCCTAGCTAGTCACAAACGATATTGTAGTTTACTTATCTAGTCTTATGTCTGCAACAGAAACTCATAGATGAAAAAATGTATGAACTGCTTGGTGAGAAAACTGCTGCTGATAACGAAAAACCTACAAAAAAGAAGGAGAAGAAGGAGAAGCCTACCAAAGTCGAGGTGATTGGAGGTTTCATTGATTTCTTTTCTGTTGTGTATATTGTGATTTTAATTCTTCATTTCTGTGGCTTATCTTTAGGAAAAGAAAGCTGTTGTGGAAACTACCGCAGAGCCATCTGAAGAGGAGCTTAATCCATATACTATATTCCCTCAGCCAGAGCAAAATTTTATGGTAACATCTATGATATATTTTACTGAGATTTTTAAGTTCACCTTCTACACATCTGAATCCTCGTCCATTGATAATCATTCATCTGGGTGTTGATTCAGTGGTAATAATAGTAGAATAAGTATGATCTGTATTGCTTCACTTTTTATTGTGGCTATCTGGAACAAACCCTAGAACATGTTTGATGTTACATTCTCATTTTGTCATGGGTGAATTCATAGCTAGTATGTAAGATTTTTTGTTATTTTATGTTCTCAGGTTCACACAGAAGTGTTTTTCAGTGATGGCTCTATTCTCAGATGTAGCAATACAAAGGAAGTGCTTGACAAACATCTCAAGGTGACTGGAGGGAAAGTTTATACTCGGTTCCCCCCTGAACCAAATGGTTATCTACATATTGGACATGCCAAGGTAAGAAATACATGATATGAGGGTTTGGGATGTTTTGCTTGATGGTGTATGATTGGTTAGGGCTATGGTTTTATGTTCATTTCCAATGCTTGTACTTCCAGGCTATGTTTGTTGATTTTGGTCTTGCAAAGGAGCGAGGGGGCTGCTGTTATCTAAGGTAAAAAATTCTTGTTTTTTTACTTGAGTTTCTTACATCTTTACTTTTGTAGAACAATCCTTGTTTCTTCTGTAAGCACAATGTTCAGGATTCCTTGAAAATCTGGTTTTCAGGTATGATGATACAAATCCAGAGGCAGAAAAGGAAGAGTATATTAATCACATTGAAGAAATTGTTAGCTGGATGGGTTGGGAACCCTTCAAGGTATTTTCAGTTTCTTGCACGAATAGCTCATTGTTATTATAATTGTGTTTAAATTCATCTGACGTTTACCATTGTTTTTTTCCTAGATTACATACACCAGTGATTATTTCCAGGAACTGTATGATTTGGCGGTGGAGTTGATTCGGAGAGGTCGTGCTTATGTTGATCATCAGGTTGAATCAATTTAAAATTTCTGACATATGGATTCCTGTTGCTTTTTCCAATTATATGCCATTCTTTAGTTCTAAGCTGTACTGCAAGTCTGCAACTTTATTCACACTAAAATCCTATCGAGTAATTGTTTTTACACATTTTTAGACTGGCGATGAGATAAAAGAGTACAGAGAGAAGAAAATGAACAGCCCCTGGAGGGACAGGCCTATTGAAGAATCTCTAAAACTTTTTGACGAAATGAGACGAGGAATGATTGAGGAAGGGAAGGCAACCCTAAGAATGAAGCAAGATATGCAGAGTGACAATTTTAATATGTATGACCTTATTGCCTATCGAATAAAGGCAAGTGAAACTAAAATCATCTCTAGTTACATATAAAAAATAGGCTCTCTCTCTTCTATTCCTGTCTGACTTGTTTACATGCTTTTCAGTTCGCACCTCATCCTAAGGCTGGTGACAAGTGGTGTATCTATCCGAGTTATGATTATGCCCACTGCACTGTTGATTCTCTTGAGAATATAACGCATTCGGTTAGTCCCTTTCTAGGTCTTTTGGCTATTTGCAGCATTACTTAATACAACTTTAGCAGCTGTATTTTGTGACCCACTAGTTACTTTCAGTAATAAAATTCCCTTTTCTATATCGAACGCATCTGCTATTTTAAAACCTTTTTCTGTGATTCTGACCATTTCTTTTATGTGCATAATTGTAGCTCTGTACTCTTGAATTTGAAACCCGGCGTGCTTCATACTATTGGCTGTTACATTCGCTGAGTCTCTACATGCCATATGTGTGGGAATATTCCCGGTTGAATGTGACAAATACTGTAATGTCCAAGCGTAAGGTGGGTTATACTCAACTTTCCTGTGAACAATGTATAGCAAATTATGCAGAGAATCATGCTGGTTGTATCATCTTTCTTTTCTTTTGCTGCAGTTGAATTACATAGTGACAAACAAGTATGTTGATGGTTGGGATGATCCACGTCTTTTGACACTTTCTGGTTTGAGGCGGAGGGGTGTGACTTCAACTGCGATTAATGCATTTGTACGAGGAATTGGGATTACCAGAAGGTTTGCTATATATATCTGAATTTACATCATACTAGTTGGCATATGTCAATTATCTTTGTTAACTCTGCTCTCTATTGTTCTATGTTACAGTGATGGTAGCATGATACATGTGAGTCGTCTTGAGCACCATATTAGAGAGGAATTGAATAAAACAGCTCCTCGCACCATGGTGGTGCTTAATCCTCTTAAAGTGGTCATCACCAATTTGGAATCAGACAAGGTTATAGAGCTTGATGCCAAAAGGTGGCCTGATGCTCAGAACGATGATCCCTCGGCATTCTACAAGGTGAACTCTATTTCGCAAATACTTGTTTTCTACTAACAACATATTTCTGTTTCGTGATCTTTTTTCCTGGGTTGTTGATCTAGGTACCGTTCTCGAGAGTTGTATACATTGACCAATCTGACTTCCGAATGAAGGATTCAAAAGATTATTATGGGCTCGCCCCTGGTAAATCTATCTTGCTAAGGTATACAAAGGGACAGTTTTCATCATTACTACTTTTGCGTTGAATGTGATTCATTTGCAACTAAACGTGCTTCCTGCTCTTTGCAGATATGCTTTCCCAATCAAGTGCACCAATGTTGTCTTTGCTGATGACAATGAAACCGTTCGTGAAATTCATGCGGAATATGACCCTGAGAAAAAGTCAAAGCCAAAGGTCTTTTCTTTAGCCATCATTTTAATTTCTGCAAATTTGTGGCTCTTCCTAACCTTTACTTTTATTTTCTTCAGGGGGTTCTACACTGGGTCGCTGAATCTTCCCCAGGAAAAGAGCCCATAAAGGTTGAAGTCCGATTATTTGAGAAACTCTTTAACTCGGAGGTATTTACCATTCTTTAGCGTTTGTTGTTGTTACAAAGAGTTTTTTTTTTCACTGGGCTAAATTGTATTTAATCATTACAGAACCCGGCTGAACTCAATAATGATTGGCTCACCGACATTAACCCAAACTCCAAAGTGGTGATTTCTGGTGCCTATGCTGTATCAACCCTTAAAGATGCTGCAGTTGGGGACAGATTCCAATTCGAGAGGCTAGGTATGTTCTGTTTATGATGAGAAAAAGTGCTTGCAATTTTCTGGGTGAGCAACACTGATACACGTTAACTTGTAATTCATTAGGTTATTACGCTGTGGACAAGGACTCTGAGCCAGGAAAACTTGTGTTTAACCGGACGGTCACGCTCAGAGACAGCTATGGGAAAGGTGGAAAGTAAAACACTGCACCCATATTAACACTTTGTTGGTCAAAACTCCCACAAAAGGGTTTATAACAACAGTAAATGAAATCGTTTGGTTTGATACGCACATTGTGCAACAGTTAGTTGTTGTTTGTTGAACGGTCAAAAACAAAACTATATCATGTTTTATCTTTTAAAAAGTTTTTTATCTTCAGAAAACAGATGATGAAAAGCTCTCTGCCAGATGGAATATAGAGAGTTTATCTAGTATCTTTTAAGCATGTGATTTTGATTTTCTGAAAATCGAAAAAGTACTGGTTTGATGGGATTGTGATAGGTTTCAACGTGCGCTGCTTCTTATTCTCCTGCACGTCATTCAATTCATTATCCCCTTCACCATACTAAAAGTTTAATATTGGTTCTGAATTCCTACGGAAGCATATTTTTAACTGCAATTTGAATATTATTACACACAGAATCAAAAAGTTGTAAAGGAAGAAAAGGGAATATTAGGGATTAAGGAATAAGGTGCTTTTGCGATTAGGATCATAGTGATAAAATTTTGGTAAGTATAGTTAAAAAGTTGTTGAGAATGTTACATCAGTTTTTCTTTTGGTATATCAAATATGTTTCGGGGAGAAAGTTGTTTTGCTGACAAATGAGTTGGAAACAGCCAATTCCGGCATGACTATCTCTGCATGTGAAGATACATACGTACACGTACATATTATATGTAACATATATGCTCTGCAATTTCTTGCATAAATAGAAAATAATCGAGTCAACATTTACATAAACTAATTTCAAAAAGGTTAAAAGGGTAATGGCACGAAGCCACGAACGACATTAGTGAATCCGTTAATATTTGTTTACTCGGATGGCAAGTCAATAAAACAAAAACAAAAATGACGTCATTTTATGGCTGTGCAGATTGCACAAACAACAAATAAAGTGACGTCAACTAACTAAAAGTAGCCTAAAACAACATTATTTTTTTAATTTATTTAACCAAATGACTAAAACATAGTCGTTTGTTTTATAATATGGATTTAGGTCATACGTCTTGTCGATCTAGTTCCTGCCATAAAAATCATATTACATCACTAATATTTCAAGATTCTCGTCTGATAAGTGATAACTAAAATATTACTGATTTTTTTTTCCTCTTTTGTTTGATTTAAGCGTTGTGTTATATATGTACTTAAGTACTTTTGTTTTTTTGGATATGCGTACCGTAATGGAATGTACAAAACATTATCAGACCAAATTCTTATGGGAAAAATGTCGTTTAATAGCCGAACTTTCAAAAAATGGCCGTTTAATACGTGAACTTCTTATATGGCCATTTAAACATGAAGTAAACGTTGACCGGCCAATTTAAACATGAAGTATTCGTTGACCAGGCCAAAAACTACACGCCGTTATCTGTCGTTAGCATATCCGATAACAGCCGTTTAACTCTCGTTAACGATTCCATTATTGCCTAAACGACGTCGTTTTGGGTTTAATCTAAACCCCGAAAATCCCCAAATTGATTTTCAAATCCCTAATTCTGAAAAATCCCCAAAATTAGAACTTTAAGGCCGATTTTCGAGGCGAAGCAGAGAGTGTTGTGGATGCTGGAGTTGAACCTCGAGGCGAATCTGAGATTGTTGTCGGAGACGGAGTTCAAGCTCCACCGGCGGAAGCGTTTCAGAGCCAGGTGGCAGAGATGGAATTCTAGTTCAACCGAATATCGGAGACAAAGCTCGTGGCCGGCGTCAAAAACGAAGAAAACGACGTCGATTTGGGGATTTAGGGATTTCGATTAAGCCTAAAACGACGTCATTTTAGGTAATAACAGAATCGTTAACGGTTATTATCGGATCTGTTAACGACAGATAACGGCGTGTGTTTTTTGGCCTGGTCAACGAATACTTCATGTTAAATTGGCCGGTCAACGTTTACTTCATGTTTAAATTGGGCATATAAGAAGTTCACGTATTAAACGGCCATTTTTTGAAAGTTCGGCTATTAAACAACATTTTTCCCAAATTCTTATACAGAAAACTTACGTTATAAAAAGGCATGTGTAAAACGTTTTTACTCATTTCCTGCAAGGATTCAAATTAACAACGCTTGTTTATTTTTTATTTTTTTCTTTTTCTCTGAAATAATCATGTGTTCTATACTTCTATTTAACAAAAAACAAAAAGCTAAAAAAAATCATGTGCACGTCCCATTTTTAAAAATTATAGCTGGAGTATCTGGAAGTCCAAGGTTCGGTGATTATGGGTTTTACTCGAGGTGTGATTGAGTGATCTGTTGCCAACAAATTACTGTTTCTTAAATCACATTTGAGTTAGGTGATTGTTGATAATTACAACGTTATTCGTTGGTCAATAAATGTGACTGGTAAACTATTCCAATAATACCTACCAATAAAAAACATACGACCCTTCAACGACATTATTGAACAAATTCTAATTTTGACCATCTAACAGTTTATGGCCAGTTAATGTTTCCAATTTCCATCTTTGTTGGATTCCCCGGAATAACCGGTCGTGATTTTGTAATAGACTATACAAAATCTAGTGGAAGATTATTTTCACAAATTAAACCGATTTTTCTCACTTTTTTTAGTGTGATACACATGTGTAAAAGATAAGTTATAGAAAAAGACCAAGTGTAGGTAGCTTTGGGGTCGTTGTTGCTGCGATTTTGTAGTTTTTTCATACTAAGATCCTCCGGTTCACAAGGCTACTGTTAAAGAAAAAATAGATTTAGATTTATAGGAAAATGGCCACACTGCTCCATATACGTACATGGTTCCTAAATATATTTCCTAAATTTAAATTTGATCAGTGAAGATTTGACCTATAATATAATTTTTATATATATGTAGCTTTATCTCCTATTTAATCTGAATCCTGGTACACAAATGTGATCCATTGATAACTTGAATTATTGGAGATGAGAAGGAGACAAAGCATGCAAAGACTTTCATCTCCAAAAAAAGTATCTTAATAAATGTATGTACTACTCTTGTCTTCTTGACCTTTAAAAGGATTCAAAAGTTTATTGCAACTTTATAATGCCGCCTGTTGGGTCCAAATCATTCTAAAGCTTCCATGAACTGACATCCATATATATATAATTATATAGAAGTAATGAAGAAGAAGTTACCTTCAAAGAATACGAAATAACACACTTCATAACTCATAAGTGAAAATAAAAGCTATCCCTCTCAATAAACTAATTTTGTATTTATTATCATTTTTGAAGCCACATATAGGATTATCGATCGGTGGTGGAAAAACTCCTCTTATATGTAAATGGCTAAATGAGTGGATTTACATGTATCATATCAAGCTTAATGAAATTTAATCTAATTTTATATTCCTAATTAGTAAATTGAGTGTTTTTCTGTATACTCACTTTTTATTTTTATTCTTTTAATGTTTACTTTTAAACTAAACAATTTTATGGATAAATGAAGGTCAATATCTTGTTTTTGGTCGAGGCATGCATACAAAAGTAAAGGAGAAGAAAAATCAAGTAATTCTAATCGAACTACGAATGTCTTTGGTTGTAATCTATAATGCAACATTTACACGGTTCATATAAGTGCTCCAAGATTAAAATAAGTTTTCTGTATTATTTTAGATTCAAATGTTTCTTGAAGAAGATATTGAGTTAAAAAAAAAAAGTAGAACACAATATTAATCGTAGAATTCTTTTAAACAAACTAATTATATAATGTCAAACGAATGTCTATTTGCAATATATTGAAAGCTTAGACTTTCCATCGACTTACTAATCATGCACACATATAATTTTCTAAGGAGATAAATAATCAATTATTTTCTAGAATCTTGACTATCACCCATCAATTTTCTTGGATTTAACATCGTGTATATCATCAGTATATGAATCCCTCGATTTTGGATTCTTTCACATGTAGAAGTGAGATTAGATTTGTTCTCCTCAGAAGATCCAAAATAACGAAAAGGAGAACTGTTTAATCTTCAAAGATTAGGATTTTTCTGTAGAGGAGACGCGACAATTATATATATACTCCTCATTTCAGTTGTCACTTCCTCATTTTAGTCAACATGCAAACTAAATTATTCTTTTACGTCAAAAAATTTCGTATACAACAATTAATGTTAAAATTTATTTCCATTAGTTCAAAATATAACTATAAACTATAAGAACACATTATTAAGGAATCCAAAACAATTAATATATAAAAAAGAGATAAACCCCTCCAATTTGTAAGAACATACATATAAATATATGTGGGCTCTATAACCTAATTAAAGTGTGCATACTCCTTAAACTGCCAAATGTCATCCATATTCCACATTGGATCTTGTGTCACATCCTCCTCGTACATGGAATCAGCCACGTGACAATCCTGCAATGTTAAAATGTCTGAATTGCCCATAGTGGCCACCATGTACTCCTCCTCTAGGCAAGGGAATCCGAATGAGCTATAATCTTCACTCACACATTGACTACTACTCCCTCGTGATCCCTCCAATGACATTGTGGTTTCAAGATCAGACAAATCCATGAACTGTGAAATTTTCTTGAGATCTACTGACATGGAAGTGGAACAATCCATGTTGTTGATGAAACACAAATCATTCTTGTCTCGTAAAACGGGTCCAAGTAAATCAGGAGCATCAGCTTTAACATTATTGTTGCCGTTTGAGTTATCTTTAATCTCGTGGATCAGTCTTGGAACCCAAAAGCTACGAACAACTTCCAAGAACTTGTGGCTATTGGAATCTATGTTGAGCTGGCGTGCTTGTTTCTGGACTCTAGTTCTCCAGTAGTTTTTAATATCGTTGTCTGTTCTTCCGGGTAAATATTTTGCAATTTTGGACCATCTAATTAAGAAACAACATGTTACACGTTACATTATAAAACATTATTAAAGCTAAAGAAAGCATTAGAGTAACTAATTAACGTACCTATTACCCCATTTCGAGTGGAGCTCGAGGATTAAAAGTTGTTCTTGAGGAGTGAGATTCCCACGCTTTATGTCGGGTTTAAGGTAATTCAACCATCTCAATCTACAACTTTTTCCGGTTCTCTTTAACCCTGTTTTTTTTTTTTTTTTTTTTTTTTTTTTTTTTTTTTTTTTGTAAAACAAGAGATCAAACTTTTAATACAAATTGATTCTAATATGAATTGATAGGAAGATACGCTTTTCACCAATTTTCATTTTGTTGGAAAAAAAAAGAAAATGTAAAAGAGAATAATTATTACCAGAAGATTTAGCGAGAAGATTCCATCGGCCTTCACCGTTATAGGAAATGTAATTGGTGAGAAGAGTGTCTTCCTCAAGTGTCCAAGGCCCTTTCCTCTGCTTTGCACCCTCTTCATTTCCATTAAACTTCTTCTTCGTTAGATTTGACATAATAATTTGTTCCCTTTCTAATTTTAATTGTTTAAAGCTTTATTTGTGTGTGTGTAGAGAGAGAGACATGAGATAAAAAAAAAGAAACTAAGAGTGAGGCTTTTGTGATTTGAGATGTGAAAGTGAATTCAATGGTTGTAGAGAATTTATAGACTCGTGATATTGGATAATATTCGTACTTTCTTTTATACATAGATCATAGATGCCACACACCGAAGTTGAACCACAAAGTTTCTATTTAAATCATATGATTATTCAACCACTATATTACTAAAGTGTTGAGGTAATATATTTTAGAATTGTTTAAAATTAACATGACATCATTTTTTTGATTTTTTAAAAAAATCTTCTTTTATGTTTTCTAATCAAATAATTATTTACATTTTAAGGGTTATAAATAAATATACTATATATTTTTCATGCAGGGACAATGTTTTATAGAGACTAGTCAGTAATTCTTTGCTTGTGGCTTTTGCATAGAAGTAGTACTAACGATAAAGAAAACAAAATCTTTGGTTATAAGAAAACCAATTTGAAAAGGAAAAACAAATTTTACAATAATTTAATGAATTTCTGAACCTATATAGGGGCTAGAGGATGAATTCGAGTCCTGTATACTATATTTGATGAGATATGCGTTTGTGAATTCGACACACATATTGTTAAAAGGCTAAACGGCCGGGGTCTAGAGAAATTAGGAACCAAATGTTCCAAAAATTTTGGTTACAGAAAAGAATAATTCATCTAAAAGTAAATCAATTATCAAAAGTAAGAACGATCGAACTAAAAAGAACAGGCTTTGCAACTTGTAAAAGGTACAAGTACTTAAGTTGGACGTATGGAAAATCAATCAAATCTCTTGGCACCGGGAAGTCGCCATCTTGGATTAAGATACTCTAAAGAAAAAAAAAAAAAAAAAAAAAAAAAAAAAAAAGATACCAACGTTGAGTTGGCCTAGTGGTAAAGGGGTTGCAGCTGTAACTACCGCCACCTGGTTTCGATTCACGGTGGGAGGGACTATTTACAATGCTTGGGTTCCCGGCAAAGAGGTGAAACCACCTTTTTTTTTACCAAAAAAAAAAGATACTCTAAAGAACCACGTGTCATTCTTGGAACTATTCATTTTCAAATTCTTGATAATGTGAGTGTGAGAAACATATAAAAAAATTCGTTTTTATAGCACAACCTCTATTTGAAGATAAGTTTAGTGGGGCAGAACAAAAGTGAAAAGATAGAAACACATGGAAAGAAGATAAAAGACAACATGGGTGGAGACAGCAGAGTAAATTAAGATTCCCAAATATAGAAAGTTATTAGGGGTAATTTGTGCCCATCAGTTTCTTTTTCCGGAAACTTATTGATGGGTTGAAAATTACGCAAGTTGGAATTACGATGGTGTTATAACGCCGACTCATTGTATTTAGAGCCCACTTGATCCGGTGACGACAAGATGATTTTAATATTCTTACAGATAACTAAGTTGTATTGCTAACTGGACTAAGAATTGGTAACAAACGATCATCTTTGGGCCAAAAAAGAAGAAGAAGAAGTATAAATCATGATTAGGAATAAATGGCTCAATGACTATTTTACTGCACCTTGATCGTTCAATGGCCGGTTTAGTTCACCACTCCCCTCTCGGTTTTTTTTTTTTTTTTTTTTTTAAATATCATTGATTGTTCAATTGTGGTCTCCCCTCTATCATCTCCCCATCTTTTTATATGGGCTGAATACAAAGTGGGCCTAGAAAGCTATCTATGAAATTTTGTATATTCTTCTGCATTTTATTAGTAAAATAAGCCCATTTACTTGCAATAATTAATTCCCAATAATTAATCTTTTTTGTGCAAAACCCAATAATTAATCAATCAATTAATTTCATCTAGTTTTTTTGTGATGATTATTGCAAGTTGGTGAATTTATACGTAATTTATCAGCTAACAGCATTATTTTATCGATCGGTATAACGTTTACCCGTAAAATAGCAAAAATAATAAAATTCATGTTTAACATAAATAAAAAATTTAAAACTTCTATGTCCACTTAATAAATTGTTGAAATCCAGTGCCCACTATATATAGTTACATGAAAAGTCCTCTTTCCTTAGTAATATAAATTAGGCATAGGAAATTATTAAAGAGATTGTCCAAATTTTTATCAAGTTTTGGGATATCTAACTTAGGTATATAAAAAAAAAAATTCAACAAAACATTTACTTTTTGTCGCATTTAAATTAATGGCTATTACGGTAAGGTAAAATGAAAGTAGGGAAAACAAAATTAATGTGAAAGCGAGATATTCCCAACGTAGATCTATTAGTAATTGGATAGTTGCCTCATTATTGATGTAAGAAAATGGAAAGTAGTGAAGCCAATCTTTATCGATAGAGATGGGCTAGGATTTTTCTGCTTCCTCACAATCATATCCATGTCATTAAAGTCAAATTTCTCAATTTCTCTACTTAAACATTCATTGACAATAATTACATGTTGTGAGGTTAGTCGTATCGTAAACATTAGTTTTGGAGAAAGTAATCTCATCCACTCTATGTTCTTAAGACCCTTCGAACCATCCAAACCTTCAAACTAAGATATGCCTCCTTTTGTGGGATTTAGAAACTTAGAAATGGGACTTAGCTAGACCCAATAATTTTTTTTTTCAATTTTTCGTTATTATGTTATTTTAATTTTGCTATCTAATCTACAGCCTCTGCGTCTTGGAGACTGCCTAGGCCACTTCAAAACTTACACTTATAAACTTATTTTGAGAAAATCTTATTTAAATCTTATTATTATCTTACAATATCGTTTTAAGTTGTACCAAAAACAAAGTAAGTATTTCCGGCAACTAGCCGAGATAGCCGCTTAATGTTAAGTAGTCGTACTTAAGATTTGTCCGATAGCCTAATAATGCAAAACTTGTGATGATCGCTCGTCCATCATTAATGCAATTTCTTCCGTTTCAATTTGGCACCATACTTGTTACATTAAAATGGGATACTCAAAAGGTCCCGGCAAGTTAGATATATCTAACATTGAACATGGGTCCCACAAAATCTTCTGCACAGTGGTAAATGGAAACCTAGCTGCGAAGTGTCTCTTTGGTCTCACACGCTTCTTTATCATTCTCACAAAGTCACAAAATACATGAGCTAATAACCAAATCATTTAAAAGACTAAACTTATTAAATAAATCATCCCATCTTAGAAATCTCTATCTATATAAACAATCACAACCCAATTGCAAGTTTTATAACTGTCTTTAGAGAAAAAAGAAACAAAACTCACAAAAAGGATTTCATATTTTGGTTGCTTAGTGTCTCTAATGGCACGGTTTGAGCCATATAACTATAACATTGGTCTTAATTCTTTCTTTGCACAAATTAACCAAAATCCAGAGCTAATAAATCTGGACTCACCAGCTTCTACTCCTCCGAGTTTCATGCTTTTCTCCAATGGAGCTTTAGTTGATGCCGATCACAATAATTCTCTCTTCTCCCCAAACTTAGTGCACGGTAAACAATTTTATAGTTTTCTTGTGTGGGGAAAAACTGCTATATTCATATTTATGTTCTTAGACTTGATGAAGCTAGAAATCGCAGGTGGTACGGGAAGAAAAGGCAATAAAGAAGAGAGTGGGTCAAAGAGAAGAAGAAAGAGGTCGGAAGAGGAAGAAGCCATGAATGAAGAGGAGACTCAGAAGCCAAAAGATGTTGTCCATGTCCGAGCTAAGAGAGGTCAAGCTACTGATAGCCATAGTTTGGCTGAAAGGGTAATTCTACAAATACATATATACTCAAAAGTACAAATCACTTTACTTTTCTTAGTTTCATATTTTCTAAGTTGTGTTGGATTCTTTGTGAAATGCATAAAGGTACGAAGAGAGAAGATAAATGAAAGGCTGAAATGCTTACAAGACCTTGTTCCAGGCTGCTACAAGGTACTTGAATCTCCGCAAACCCTAATTTTTGTTTGTTATTAAAAGAAAATCAACAAAACTCTAAAACCAAGTACCTCTGGAGAACTTCTACAATATACCAATTTCTGGTGCTGTTCTTTTTTCTGCTATGTATCTTTGAACTTGTGAATTAAGGAAAGAAAAAAAAAAAAAAAAGAATCATATGATTGATTTTTTTTTTTTTTTTGGTTATTTCGGAACACCAAAATCTATTGTGTGGCAGCGTCACTCACGTAAATGAACAGATTGTTTTGAGTAATATATAGCAAACATTTATTTTTTCCACAGTAATATATATAAATCAAAGTGGGTTTATTCTCTTTAATGATACTCAAAACGTGATTGCAGGCAATGGGAATGGCAGTGATGCTTGATGTCATCATAGATTATGTTCGATCACTCCAGAATCAAATAGAGGTTAGGCCATTTTACTCATCAAAAACATCCCATTAACTTTTTATAATAACCCAATGATATTTAAATGTGTTTCTGCTTTGGCCTCGTGACTACAGTTTTTGTCCATGAAACTCTCAGCGGCAAGTGCGTATTACGACCTTAATTCTTTGGATATTGAACCAACGGATATATTTCAGGTAATTGTCACATAAATATAAACACTTTCATGGATTTGTATTGATAAAGATTTTGATAACAGGGAGGGAATATGTCCAATGCAGAAGAGATGGAAAGGATTTTAAGAGAAAGCGTTGGAACCCAGCCTCCTAATTTCAGTTCAACATTGCCCTTTTGATACATAAGAAAATTTATCAGAGAAATTATTCTCTTTTCCTATAATTAAACTCCATAAAAATAAGGACTTACCATATGAGTATATATAGGTTTATCTTTTTTTTGTCTGACGATGTTTGTGATAAAATGTGTAACCTTGTGATTATGAAGCTTATCCATATATAGTACGTAACTATGTATGTACGTTACAAAGAAACTCTATTTTGAAGTAACAAAGATTTTGATATTACAAGGGAACAAGACACAACAATAAGACTATTCCTTTAAACATACTCACAATTTTGACTTGCAACACTTTTTGTTATGAGTCACTGAAGGCAAATCTGGGTCAAAGCATCAGCAATATGCTTCATCGGTGGGCGTTTCTCGGGGCTAGTACTAACGCAAGCCATTGCAATTTTCAACACGGCGATGACCTCTTCTTCAATCTCTGTGTCATTAGGCACCAAATAAGGATCCAAAATGTCTGCCATCTCTTTCTTCTCATCGATACACATTTGTATCCACTTCACTATCTCCATTTCCGATTTACCCACGAAAACAATCGGTAATCTTCCTGTTATCATCTCTAGCAAGATCACCCCGAATGAGTATACATCCCACTTCTGTGATGGCTTCACTGTTGCTTTCGTGGCTTCAGGAGCTTGATAAAATGAGCTCAAGTTTGCAGATGATCCAATCGATGAGGCGGTCTTGTTGGATGGAACTGTGGTTGATTCCAATGTTCCAGCAATGCTAGAGAGGTGCATGAGTCCGAAATCCGAGATATGAGGCTCCATATCCTGTCCCAGCAGTATATTGCTGAGTTTCAGAGATCCATGAACATACTTTTTGGGGCTAAACTCGTGAAGATACACCAACCCTCTTGAGATACCCCTCATTATCTTTAACCGTACTCCCCAAGACAACGGCTTGAATGACACCATTGCAGGATTTCCTAACAATAGACAAAATAAAAAATTGAGTTTTCAAGACAGAGAAGCCATATGTGAGTAGTATTCTCATAAAGGTTTTATAGTTTACCGTGGAGTGCATTGGCAAGACTTCCATTAGGAATGTAGTCGTAGATGAGAAGCTTCTCTTCAACTGACCAATAATAAGCTTTAAGACTAACAATATTCGGATGCCTTAGCTTCCCAATCGCTTCGACTTCTGTCTGAAACTCCTTGCATCTTTGGGATCCTCCTTCTCCCAATCTCCTAACCGCAACCGTTAGACCATCTTCGAGGACAACTTTATACACAATCCCGTTCCCGCCTTTTCCAAGAACAAAAGCAGAAGCCTTAAGCAGCTCATCTAAATCCAAAACCATATGTTTATCCAACAGAACAAGATCCTGTTGTGGCTCAAGATTTTCCGAAGAAGGGGACTCTGATCCATCTCTTCTGAAACAGAAAGAACCTTTCTTTTCTTTCCCTTCTTTCTCCAACACATAGCCTTCCTCATCCACACTATTACGACGCGCACATATCTTCAAGTAGCAACAAGAGAAGAGAAATCCCACAATGCAGATTCCAATGAAATCACAGACCACAATTGCAACAATAGCAGTTTTACTTAGACCTTCTCCTCTCTTCGACCCTCCTCCACCGTGCTCGTTGTTTTCAGGTACAAAAGGGTGAGATGTTGGAGAATCTCCGGTATCTGGCAAACAAGGATCCTTCAATGGAGGGCCACACAGCCTCGGATTCCCCAAGAATGCAGTTGGTCCTCTGTTCACCAAAGCACCGGTTTGTGGGATTGGTCCACTCAAGTTGTTGTAAGCTAGATTGACATACACTTTCTCAGGCAAATTCCCCAAGCTAGCTGGAATCGAGCCACTAAACGAATTATGAGACAAATCAAGAGTTCCTTGCAATCTAGTCAAATTCCCCAAATCATCAGGAACAGGACCATTAAGATTGTTAGAAGAAAGATCAAGCTTCTGTAACAAAGCCAAAGCCTGACCAAATCCACTAGGAACAGAACCAGTGAGATTATTCTGACTCAAATCAAAGCTCCTAAGCCTGTTACACTTCAAAACCGATTCTGGAATCGACCCATTAAGAGAATTACGAGAAAGATCCAAAATTTGCAGAAACTTCAAGTCACCAATCTCATTTGGAATAGACCCAGATAAGAAATTCCCATAAAGAACCAAACTTTGAAGCCCTTGAGCCTTAAAGAGCTCAACAGGTAAGTTCCCACTAAGCTCATTGCTTCTCAAATTCAAATGACGAAGATTAGTAAGCAAACCAAGAGAAGAAGGAAGATAACCTACAAGTTTCTTCTTTGGGATGCTAAGAGAGACAACAACCTTGTGATCATCACAAGTGACTCCATTCCAAGAACAAGGGTTTTGATTCTCTGAGTTCCAGTTACTTAAAGAACCATCTGGATCTCTTGAAATAGACTTCTTGAGAGTTAAAAGAGCGAACCCTTCGTCGTTTAGAGCATTCAATTCGCCATTGAAGTTCCAGATAAGAAGAAACAGGAATAAAAGAGAGCCCACCGACATTTCGGAGGAATCAGAACAAGAAAGTAGCAGAATTTGGACAAGAATTTACTTTTGGTAAGAGAGAAATCAAGAATGAGAACAGTTTGCGGAGATTGATGATAGAATTGGAGAGAGAAGTGGAGAGAGTGTGAAAGCATGAAAAGGAGAGTGAGAGACGTTGATAGAAGATTCGGGCTTGCTAAGTTGGACCTTTGGACTTTGGTATCTATCTATCTATTAATATTTCAATTTTTTATTGTTTTTTGAGATCGACAATTTTTTTTTTTTTTATATAATAAGAAATCTGTTTTCATTTATTGGTAAAGTAATCTAAAATCAATGTTGAATACTTTAAGAATGATGGGGAAATACAAAACTTGAGAATAATGATGACAAATGTGCAAAGATAAGCTCTTGCGGAGAAATTCATGCACTTTCTTTCTCATAACGAAAGTGCACTTACTTATGCCAATTTTTATATAGTTTTAGCTCCCATATTATTACAATTTTCTAAGAGAAAACCTTTAAAGTATATACATAATAAAATACGTAAGTTGTTTTATTTTTTAGTTTCATATTCACAAATAGGAATGAACCAATGAATCAAACTAAGCCTTAGCAAATAACCCCTTAATTACTTGTTAATTTATTTAATATGATTATAATTACCCAAAAGTTATGTATTTATTGAATATGATTATCAACTAATAGAAAATTTTAAGTGATTGCATACAAGATATATATGGTGAGCTAACGGTTCACTCGAACTAATAATAGTTGCAGTAGACAAGAGTAAGCTGGAGTAGAAAAAGTATCTAGTTAATTAAAGTTAAACCCCTACTTCTACTTTATTTTGTAATGAAAATAATAGAGTGATTAATACGGCTCCATGATTATTCCACATTCTATGTATAACTATAAAGGGAACACTTTTCTCAAAAAAAAAAAAACTATAAAGGGAACACCTTTATGCACTATGATGTCCCTCTTTGTATGTTTTCCAGCCGTTAACACACACATTTGTATCATCAAGTAATCAATTTATAGAAAAATGTGAATCATTATGTCTATAGTTGTCTAGCTACTCCGAACGTATATCAGTACTAATTAATAAATTTTAAAATTAGTTGATATTCAATGTATATTGAATGTGTAGATGGAAATGTAATTTCTGAAACTTAATTCAAGCTGATTATAGATGCTGATAAAAAAAAATCATATATAGTTATGGTGATATATAAAGTTCCATATATAAATGATATGAAGTTATAGATGCTGATTCATAATAGTGAGATTTTTTTAGAGGTTTACTTTTACTAACAGTCATTAGAAACTTATTTCAAATAATTAAAATCTCCTATAAAATAAAGCACATGAATGACACCAAAAAAGTAATTGCAGGTCCGATAGGATAGAAGAACAGTGTTGCTAAAAGAGATATCATACATTGAACAGACATGCCTGGACATATAGTTTCTGCTTTTCTTTCTTAGCATACCAATCATCCATACCACCAACACTATATATAATTAGTGAAAAATGAATGTTCTCAGTCTTTATAACAAAACAATACTACAAAGAACGTAAAAAGTTTACAATATCATTTTTATAGTTTTTTAATTAGTAAAAGTACTTTATAGTGTGCCCCAGTCAAAGAGATGGATGCATGGAGCAGCAAAATATGAGTAGACTAGAGAAAGACAATCATAGCTAGGCTCCAACTTTGGCACGTCGAAAATAGGAGCGTGTGTTCGAGAAGTTAGCCGTTGCCGTGGAGCACTGGAGCGCATAGAACATCTACATCATTACTAAACTACGCAATCCACATGTATTACGCGATAACATGATCTCACTTGCTCTTTGTGAATTTTTTTTTTTTTTTTCTATTGCAGTTTCTTTAATATTTTCGAAACATTTTAGAGATGGTTATTAAACTTGCTTATCAAAACCAACTGTTTCGATGATATCACACTCATGTTTAGAAACTATTTTATATACTTTTTTCTTATACAAAACTGAGTGTGAAGAATACTAAACTAAGATTATAACATAAAGTGACTCTTATATGATGCTTATTTAGTAGTAAAGCCTCGTGATCCAAAATTTCTTGAAATCAATCCTACTTATCGATATATATACGGGTAATAAATTTCTCAATGTGTAGAATGATTGTTTAAATTTTAAACTATGAATTTTCATTTATCAAAAACAAAATAGATCATACTTAAGTTATAAATATATCGCTTAAAATTGGTATACCTAGCTAATGTTGTGTAACTTCGTATAGAAACAACGAATTTTAAAAAATCATCTTAGAGATTTAATTTTAGGAATTAATTACCCATACATATAGTACTAGAGAAGATCTTGTAAAGTCAGAATCCAAGAAATATGTTGACAAAGCTCATTCCGCATGATAAATAAAGTTGTGTGCAACTTCAGTTAGATTTTTTTTTTACTGAAAGATCAATAAGCCGTCTCATTGTTGCATATAGTACTATTCTCTGAGTGGGAAATTGTTAATTAAGTTGTAAAATTAAAATTTACCGTTATGTTGTTCCGACGAATTTTTTTCGTTTTATGAAAGTCGAATTTGAAATCCAAATGTTAAGAGGAGGAACGAGTGGCAGCATATCAAATATTAGGTACCATTCAAAAATATTAAAACTTACATCACTAGGTTAGGTCTTTCTCGAAAATATTTGAATATTTGTATTCAACGTACGTAGAGAACTCCTGATGCGCGTGGAGTTCTGAGCAAACGAGAGTACAAGAGCCTCGTGACTCCGTAAGGTCCTAATATTGTCGTATTCTAGTGTGTACATACCCTGCCTGCATTCCAAAATCTCTAATTTTTTAAAACCTTAAGACTTAGGTCAAAAAATGGACACGTTAGATTTCTTGATTATCTATGAACCTTAGATGTCCACATTATATAAATGATTTTATTAAAGAATTGGTAACTTAGTGACGAAGAGAAGCTTTTGTGCGGCAAACGTTGTTGTTTCTCGTCATGAGTAGTTTACATATCTATCCTTTTATTCCTATATAAGTACCCTTGAAGTGTCTGCGTTAAACTCAAAATCTCAACCAACTTATCAGTAAAGGATCACTTAAACGATCAAAAGAATGAACAACGACGAAGAATTTCTTCGGCAATGGTCTGAGATGCTGAACTCGCTCGCTAATCCAGAGGTGAGTAGTGACTTGCGTAAGATCAACAACGAAGGAGGTGAAGAGGATGTAAGGCAAAAGAGGCCAGCTGAGTCGAAGAGAGAAGGAAAGAAGAAGCGAGTTAAGAGACAGTGCGTGTCTAAATCTTCAGACAAATCTGATCATGATACCTTGTTGAAGAAGGTAACGAATAATAGTTGTATTGTTATGATGATGCTTCTTCCCCAAGAAACTCATGATTTCCTCATTTTTCTTCTTTAATTACCTTAGACGATGCGGCGGGAACGTATAAGAAGCCAACTAGAAACACTAAAGGAATTAACACCCAATTGCCCACAGGTTCACAACTGCTGCCTTGTTAACTGAATTTTTTTCTTGTGTTTTGGTTTTGTCAATATAATGTTTTTCTTTTTTCGTGTATTTTTATAGTCGGATATCAACGCCATCCTTGATTGCGTTATCGAGTACACGAAAAACTTGCACCTTGCAGTACTTTTTGCAGGTAAAAAAATTATATGGCCGTACTCATTCTGGTTAGTTCATTCAAGATTATCTTTTTTTTTTGGTATGAAAAGTTCATTCAAGATTATCTATCTGCTGGTTTTTAAATTTCTCTTCATTTGCAGCGTTACATGAGTTCGCAGGGAATATGTGACGATCGACTGGAGACTGTTTACTGAAGCTGGTGCCGTTTAGTATGATATACTTAGAAGGGTTTTTTCTTTATGATAAAATTATATACTCGAAAGTGTCTATTAGCTAAGTTGTTCTCATTCTCTCAGTTGTTCTTTGTTGGTTTATTATAATAAAACTGTATGTTTTTGGTTTAAATGTTACGAGATATGTTTTAGCCTCAGTTGTTCTTTGTTTGTTTGTTATAATAAAACTGTATGTTTTTGGTTTAGATGTTACGAGTTATGTTTAATTTTGGCCATGAGACCATCTTTAAATTGCGTTCGGAACTTAATACTGGATCTTGCAAATTAAAAGTTATGATTTGATCAATACTCCACTTGCGCCAACCGTCCGCCATTTTCTTTGTTAAAACCTTATGATGTGTTTTGGACCTTTGGTCATGCAAAATTTTGTTGACAATGGGACCTAATGTGTGATCCTTTTTTTTGGTGAACAATAGGAGACAATTGTCTCCTACACTTTATTAAGATAATGAAAATTACAACCTAATGTGTGATCCTTATAATAAGTATTTCAATTAAAAATTTGAGGTTAAATGTTAAATGAATTGATCTTAATTATATCTAAATATTTTTATGTGTTTATGCTTAAGAGAAAATATTTGAAATACTGAAATTTATGTTTTTAATTTTTTTTGGAAAAATACTACAAATACCAAAAATGAGAAAATACCACAAAGATTTTGTTTATGAACTTTGTGAGGCAATTATATAATTAATTTTTTTATATTTAGAAAATAAAACAAAAAATTTTTGTATTTTCGAAACACACAGATTTTCTTGATATTAAGATGATTATCCTGGATATTTATCTTTTTACGAAAAGGTATTTATTCTTCTAATTTTAACAAACAGAAAATATAACAAAAAATATATAAGAGATATTTTTTTTTTCTTTTTTTTATAAAAGAGATAATTACTAACTAACCTTGTTCTCGTGGCCGGAAATCACTTACAAACTGAGCTGAGAAGATAGGGTTGTAAGAGCATCCACAGTGGGAGGCTCTCACCAAGTCTCTCACCAATATTATAAAGAAAAATAATAAAAAGATAAAGAGAGAGAAGAGAATCGATTCTCATTTGAGAACAAATGAGAACCTCTGAGAGACTCTTTTTCCACGTGTCAAAATCCTCTTGCATTTATTTTTTTCTTTTTAATTTTTAATTTTAAATAATAATTAAATTGTATTTAAAGTATTATAATAATATATTTGAGAGACTCATACACTTTCTACCACTGTGGATGCTCTAAGGGTTTTATTAAAATATATATATCTAAAACCAAATCTCTTGGTGAAAACACAGCATTTTACATTACTATTAGCTGAGTAATGTTTTTTAAAAATTTCCAGTTTTGTGAAGCAGAATAAAGTTTCATATTGAAAAAGTTTATCTTCTTGAGAGTAGCAGTGATGGAACAAAAAATACATTAAAAATTTAAGAAAAAAACAAAATAATTAAATTCTTTATAAATAAGTAATTCAATATGTAGGAAGAGTTTTATGTCAGATAATGGATGTGTTCATTAAAAACTAACTCAGCAACAACTTATATTTGAAAATTATGTTAGAAATCAATGAGTGGAAATTTTTTGATAATAACAAATTCAATTAAATTCAGTTTGTATGAAGAGTATACTAAATTAACTTACTACAATTATCAATCCAATAACTTGAAGTACAACTTGATTTTTTCTTTGACATTAAATAACTTGGATAAACTAACAAATACATAGTGTTAAAAATTATGGAAATAACTACAAATACTAAAAGTCTAAAACTCTTTTTAAATCTAAATAACCTACCTAAGTATTTAGCAAATTTATCAAAATCCAAATTTTACATCAATCCAGTGCAGATAGTTGTTGTCAAAAGGTCTTGTAAAAAGGTTGAAACCTTTGATCTCAAATTCGAGCCTTACTTAGGGAGAATTATTTACACATCCACATATATTATAACAGTGGACCCCGGACAGAAGATTATGGGCCTAAGAGCAACATTATTGGGGAGGCCTTAGTTTTGGTTCTTAAGCCAATTTTTTGCTCTTAAGCCAATTTTTTGCTCTTAACTAAGAACCATTCCTTAGCAAAATCAACATTTCAACCTTTAATTTTAATCACTCATGAGCTAAGAACTAAGCTAAGGACCTCCCAATAAGGATGGTCTAAGGGATGAGAGGAAGAGAAGCTGCTCCCATGCCGCTAGGACCAAATCACCTATATTCAATCCAATATTTGTGTTAATTTATTTTAGAAGACAATAATCTCATGATCATAGAGAGATGTACGGTAAGACAAAGCCTTCTTTATCAAAGAAAAAGATTACTGGCTTAAGTTGCAAAACGTGCTTGATGAAAAGAAAGATCAGTCACAAACGATACCGATCCAATAGAGATCGACCTAACGTGTTCCATACGCTATATATAATTCCCAAGCTGATCAAAAGGATTGAAAGATACCTTGGCGTGAAAGAAACTCCCTTCAGGTAGCGTTTTCCTGATTTTCCGGCATAGGATCTAACCTAGGAGAATGTTCTGTAGCCGGAGACAATGCATAAGCAGCCACTGGATAATTAACCATATGTGGCTGCATCTGCCAGACTGGTATATAGCAGATTATCATTGGCTGCTGCTGCTGCGGCAAAGGCTCTTGAACGATTGGCCGTGGCTGGTCTTGAATCTCTACTATCTCTGTTTCTCTATCTGAAACTCCTCCCGCATCATCAGCAGAGGCGGTCTTTTCTGGCGGCAACATAGAGGCGGACGTGGTAGGAGCCGCCTCTTCCTGTCTCCGATTCTCCTCTGCCGCGGTTGCTTCGACCTTATCGCTATGGACAAACTGTACCGGACCATTCTTTGGCGGGAAAATCGGGCTGGAAAGAACGGAAGATGAAGAGGTGAAGATCGGCGATTCTAGACCTAGCAACCGATTAACGGTCACGGACGGTCGTGTTAACTCGACGTGATTTAACGGGAAGAGGAAGAGACGGATACGCCGGAAACGTGTGGAATCATACTCGGCGATCATGTTCTGTAGATCATCGTTATCGGAGACGGTGATGAGAGAGTCGAAGTCGCAGCCAGGGAGTTTGTACTTGAGATAGAAGGAGCGACCATATAGGAGCTTGTCGGAGAGAAGCTTGAAGAAGTCGAGAAAGGAGACGCCACGTGGAACGACGACTAACCGCGTCTCGCCACCGATGTAGTGAAGGGATTTTTCCGGTGGGAGGGGCATTATACGGCCACCGTAGCTACAGAGCAGACGGAGCTTAGGATTTAACGACGGAGCTTGCGGTTCCATGACGGCGACAGCGGTTTGGATAGTCAAAACAACAATAATCACACAGAGATTCCAAAGATATCTGCAATTGATTCTCGAGCTTCTAAATGTGATTTAGAAGTAGACAAAGTTTGTAAACAGAACTTTAGATTGCCAATAATAAGATAGCAATATTTGAGAGGATTTAGGGTTTTCTGTTTCTTATTTCAATTTGAGTTCTACTTGTAATTAGTATTAATATGATTTTCTCACCTAGTTTAGTTTGGAATTAAATATTGCGCTTATCTTCTTTTGAAACGAATTTTATCTTTAATAAATTAATAAGCTTGATAAACACAGTTCTTTATTGATTAGAACGGGGACACTAGCTACCAAGTGGCGGAGAGCTTTTTTTTTTTTTACTCGTTGTTTTCCCTTTTTACTTATAGCAGTGTGTACCTATAAATTAAATCAAAATTATATTATTTTTATATCCTGTAAATTAATTTATAATATTATGATAGTAAATAAAAATTTATAATATAATACATATAAACAATAACATATATATATATATATACAATTTATGGAAAACAATAACATACAATTTATCAATACAATATTTACTTCTTTTTTTTTCTGTATCCAAGAAAGTTCCACACCATATATTTTTTCGGGTTAGAAATCAGAACAAGATAAATCTAGTTTTTTTTTTTTTTTTGCATGCCGTACGTATATTCGAATCAATCGTCCAAGTTTATCTACAATTACAGTATACAATATATTGATGGTGGTGTTGAAGTTATTTTATAAATTATTCAGTATTTAGGGATTTAAATTATTTTCCCTAGCTAGATAGAAAAAAAATTCTAGATCGGCTATTTACCCTACCAAAAAGTAAGAGTATAAAGGGCGAACTAGATCATCACCCGTACTAAAGTACGGGTTGAATTTTATTTATTACAAAATTTATATAATATATATATTAGAACTAAGTTTTAATATATTATAATACAAAGTAAAAAAATATTAATTTTTTTGTCAGTCCCTATATACAATATTAGAATAAATATAGATTTTTTTCTATAATACTCAATTATGGATAATTTTTTTTTTAAGATATGAAAACGGAAAATAATTTTATTTTTTAAAAAGTAATATTTTTTGAAAAATGAGTTAATTTATGTTAACAACCACAAAATAGGATTGCATATATTTTAGTTAGAATTAAAATATCATAAATGAATAGCATATAAAACATAGATTATTTTGAATTAATTAAGAAATTAGCTATTATTTTGAATTAATTTAGAAAATTCTTTTTCAATTTATAATTCTTTGGTTGTTGAAATAGAGTTTTGTTTGAGCTAATCTAATTACAGAATTTGTTTGACATTTATAATTACGGAATTTACCAATTATTTGCATAATCGAATATGTTATAAACATATATTTAGTATATAATAATACCAAAATCAACATGTGCGTGGAGTCTATATTTTTATTTTAGAATCTTAATATTTCATTTCAAAATATTACGTGCACAATCTATTATTCGTTAATTCTAAAATTGCTTGCGGAATCAAATTTTCAAATATTTAGAGGTGTCAAACCATATTTAAATGTTCTACACTATTTTTAAATATTCCAAATTAAAATCTTTAAATTTTTTTTGTAGTTTATAAATTTTGAATTTCAAAAAACAAATTATATGAAATTAAATATAACTATTCAAATAGTTATAAGGATCAAAACTCATTTCATTATATAATATATTATATTTAACCCGCTACCTATTATAAATATTTTTAAAAATAATCAAATTAGAGTATTTATAATTTTTAACTTTTTGAACTATTAAGTATTGATGATATTCTCTAAAAATAGGGAGACTCACAAAAATGCCCTTTTTTCAATACCCCTTTTCAAAAATGCCCCTTTTGGCTGTCCATTTTTAAAAATACCCCTTTTTATGTACAAAATGACTAAATTACCCTTCTTTTAATAAAAGATATCACAAATATATAAGGAAATATAACAAAATTAGATCCACAAAATACAAAATATTTTTGGCGGGAAAAGTGATCCCGTAATTTTTCCCGCCAAAACACTTGTAAAAACTTGTAAAACCTTTAAAATACCTTGTAAAATTTTCCCGTAAAATTTTTTCCCGCCAAAAATTTTTTTTTGCGGGAAAAGTGATTCCGCAATTTTTTTGGCGTTAAATTTTTGGCGGGAAAAATTTACAAGGTATTTTAAAGGTTTTTTACAGGGTATTTATAAGGTTTTACAATGTATTTTAAAAGGTGTTACAACGTATTTATAAGGTATTTATAAGATATTATAAGATTTTACAAGCTATTTTATAAAGTTTTACAAGTTATAAGGTTTTACAAGTTTTTTATAAGGTTTTACAAGTTATAAATACCTTATAAAACCTTATAAGTACCTTGTAAAACCTTTTAAAATACATTGTAAAACCTTACAAAACACTTGTAAATACTCTGTAAAACCTTTAAAATACCTTGTAAATTTTTCCCGCCAAAATTTTTCGCCAAAAAAATTGCGGAATCAATTTTCCCGCAAAAAAAAATTTTTGGCGGGAAAATTTTTTGGCGGGAAAAGTTTTTACGGGAAAATTTTACAAGGTATTTTAAAAGGTTTTTACAAGTGTTTTGGCGGGAAAATTGCGGGATCACTTTTCCCGCCAAAAAATATTTTGTATTTTGTGGACCTAATTTTGTTTCAAATAAGGGTAAAATGGTCATTAAAAATTAAAAGAGGGCAAACTTAAAAATGGACTCTCAAAGGGGCATTTTTGAAAAGGGATATTGAAAAAGGGGCATTTTTAACAATTTCTCCTAAAAATATCAAGTAAAACTTATTTTAAATGTTGCAAATTAAAATATTTAATTTTTTCTTGAAGTATATAAAATTATACATTTCAAAAAATAAATGTATGAAATCGAATATAAATATTCAAATTCTGACCCGTTGCTCAGTCGAAATTTTTGTTGAATTTATTTTTGTGTAAAAGAAATATATTACTCAAGTCTGAATTTTTGACCCGTTTAATTGTTTTCTCTATAGATTGAACAATTTATATGCGTTTTTAAAAATTCAAATCTTGGCATATGCAGAAAAAAAATTACTTTTTTTTATTATATAGATGATATGATGATTTATTTGTTTCATATAAATATAATCATATAAAGATGAGAGGTGAAGTTTAATGATTAATAACAAATTAATATGGTAAGTTAGATATCAAATCTTATATATTCATTTTGATTGGTCATTTAAAAAAAATTAATAACAGATTTTCGTTTTATAATTTAATTAAATTAATTAAATGACATAAATTAGTATTTTACTTGTTTATCCTTAAGAAATTGAATAAAATTTGTTCTAAAAGAAGAAATTTGTAATGGCATTCTCATGTAATTTTTTACAAAAGAGAAGGTTAGTTAAGGGTTTCTTATAAAGTGTACTCCCCAAATAATAGTATAAGATATGACATTCAATTCAACAACATATCAAAGGAGATAAGTATTCTTATTAAAATTAAGGAGAAACGTCTCATTATATATATTAGTCGTTATATAGTTTCTTCGACTAAGAGGGAATATTACAATAGGTAAATTACGAACAACAACAAAGAGGAGAGCTATATATAAGCTTTGTGGAAGACATCGAGATGACATCACTTATTATCCCCTTTACAAACACATTAACGTAAAACATAGGAAATGCATGCAAATTACACATACTTTTATTTGTTATAATGGAACACCGATGATCAGAGGCTGATGAAAGGGCCAGTGACAAAGTTGGCAATATTTCCGAGATTCGTCTGGACGACACCGACCAGAGAAGTGGTGGCAGAGACAACGCCGTCCGGTGGGAAAACGGAACACGTGACCACAGGAAGACGAACCCTGACAATGCACGTAGAGGGGTCAAAGAGAATTGTGTCCAAAATTCTGGCCACAATCAGGAAGGCACCGGCGGGATTGGTCAGTGCTTGGCCGAGGTTGGTGCTTGAGCCGCCACATGTTAAGAAGACGGTCGCAGCGGAAATGGGAGGGGCGTTTTGGACACCGGTAAGGGTACAACGCAAGACACCTCGAACTTGGATTGTACCAATTACGAGGCCGTTTATTACAAGGCCGTGGGAAAGGGAAGCGAGAGAAGCCATTAGAACAATGGAGAGAAGAAAAACATTTGCTTTCGCCATTTTTTTTCACTTAATTTCTTTCTTATTTTCAACAAGGAGTGCTTTTGTTTTTGGTTGTGTGTGGCAAAGAAGCAAATGGTGAGGGCTATTTATATTGGTAGGAATTGGGGAAAATATTATTATTATAATGCAAGTTGTATCGTCATTAAATCATTTAGATAATTTTGGTATGGTCCGCATGAATAATTCCATTTCTTAAAGTTGACTTTGCCTATCAACTTGCTCTGCTTTAGTAATTTTATTTATGATAGAAAAAATATAGATAAAAATTAAAGGGAAATTTTAGGATTATTACTGTTATTATATCAATTTTATACAATACCACTAAAAAATATTGTTTAAAATTTTCATTTTATCAATCAGTTTTATAAAATTTTATAAAGTGGGTAATAAAAAAAATTTATATAAAATGTTTACAAAAATTTATAAATCCGTATTTGTGGTACTTTGAAAATATACCAAAAATTGTATCATAAAATTGTATTTTTGAAATTCTTTCGATATTAATGGACGATTTATTCATGAAATATTCTAAAAAATAAAATTTAATAACATGCACGGGCTAGCAAAAAAATAGAGATTTTTTATAACATGTTTACAAAAATTTAGAAATCGGTATATGTGGTATTTTGAAAAAAATACAAAAAAAATTGTATTTTTGAAATTCTCTTTATTTTAATGGACGATTTCAAAATTCATGAAATATTCTATAAAATAGTATCCTAGTTTTTCCAACTACTCCGAAAATTATATTTCTTTGTTCAAATAATATTGTATTTTTTCTTTAGTTTTTAGAAACTATAATGGAAATGGCTAACTTGGTTTATTTTTGTACCATTCTCTTTTTTTTTTTAACATCTAAATATAGCTTTATTAAATCGTAAATGGATAGTACAAGAATTTAATCAACCAAAGAGGTGGTACAGAAAAAGTATGATACATAGATGTCAAGGATCGAGCATGATTTGCTAATTTGTCTGCTGCTGAGTTCTTCTCCCTGTTGACATAATCCAAAGAGGCTAGTGGCAGCTTCATCATCCAATACCGGATATCATATAACAGAGTTCCCAGAGTGTGATGATTTCCTGCATTGTTGATAAGATGAACAAGTTCCTTGATATCATATAATGTATGTTGCAAGTTGCAAGTCATGATATTACCAATCTATTGATGTCCAGAAAAAGAAATATATATTGATTCCCATTTAGGAATATTTTCTAATATATTCACCCTTTTCGGGACAGAAGATGACAAAGATAATTAAGAATGGACCGCAAATTAAGGCCATGGACCAGTAAAATTTGATATCATCGCGCGGGAAGAGTGGGTAACCATCATCATCATCATCATCATCGTCATATTATCATTATTTTCATCATAATGAATCATGATCATGGTTATCATAACAGCATATCTTATCATCATCATCAGCTTGTCATCGACACCTCATACCTCCACCACCATAACTTTCATCACGATCACCATTACCAGTACCACAACTTCCATCATCACCATCATTATCATTTAGTTAGAGTTTAAAAGTAAAGTTAATATAGAAAGTTGAGATATATTGGATATAGAACGTTTAAATGCAAGTTAGGAAGCAAGCCTAGACTTAGTTGGAAGCCTGTCAAGTTGGGAGATCCACATGGTGAAAGCATTTTTCGGAATGACCCCTTTAAACCAAACAGAAGAAGACCAATCTTTGATACTCTGTTTCGGTCTTAAAGCATCCCACGTTGGAGCACTTTGAAAGGATGGATGGCTTCGACCAGCTATGTCCCAGGTGTAGGTATCCTCTTCGTCAGAAGGAAGAGGCAGATTAATGCTTGAAAAATGACCCTGGAGAGCAACTACTTGAGCAGATCTTGGGGCCAAAATAAGCCACTGGTTGTGGATAAAAGCGCTTGCAACAAAGGCGTGAATGGGGACCTGCAGATCACGTGGCCTATCAGGTCCAATGAACTTGATTAAGGAACCAAAAGGGGACCATGAATCAAACCAGAAGCTCCCCAAATTGGCCGTTGCCCAGTTTACAATTCACAAACTCTCAGCCAAGATTCTCAACCTTAGGAGGCACCTCGAGTTCCATGAAAGATGAGCAGATTCAGGTAAGTACCAGAAACTTTTCCCTTTAATGTGATGTTGGTGGTGCCAAGCTACCCACAGAGATCCACTTTTAGCAAAGAGAAGCCAGACTTTTCCCTTCTTTTTGTGGCAAAGTCTACAGCTTTGTAAAACCTATTATATAAAAAAAAAAACCTCAACACTTCATCTAATGAAATTCACATTCCTATATAAAAAAAGAAGTTAGAACTTCGAATTGGAGAGATAAAATTGCTAACAAAAATGAATGTGCATTTCCATTTGCATTAATTTGTAAACGAAACTATATTGCAAGAAGAATAAATGTATCATTCAGAAAGAAAGAAAAAAACTATAATCCAACTATATACATAAATTTAAACATAAATGTGAATTCTAAACGCAAAGAAAAACGGAAGCATAAACGCAAATGCAAAGTGAAAACAAGAATATTGCAAATGATAAAACTCCTCACGACATTTACCAACAAATGAAAGTTTTAAATTCAAACGCTAATGAAAACGCGATAGAGGAACGCACACATGTGCTAAATAATCCTACACAAAACAAATTGCAAATGCTAATGCTAAACGCAAAGAATAAAATTTATACTAGTTTACAAATTAAGCCGCGTAGGTGAAATGTCAATGCTAAGGTGAAATTGGCAAACCATAGAAGACAAGAATTAAATTTTCTTTACATTTAAGAACACCATTGACATTTCACCTATAGATACCAAATACAGTAATACTGTACCTCTATAAATTAATTATATCGGAACCGAAATATTCTATTAATTTTTTTTGTAATGCAGTTTTTTTTTCTGTTTATTACCTTACCATGTTAAGAGCAATAACTTGAGCTATCTGTATTAGATCCTCATTGCCACCTCTGACCATCCGTTTGTGTCTTATAACAAATACAGCTACCGAGAACCTAGCCAAACAAAAGGGGCATTCATTTAACAAACTTCATTTGTATGACACGAGTCTAAAACAAAGGCTAATGGTTCAACAAGACTTACCAATCCGAAAATTGCACCCGAAGCACCAACTGATGGCGCTTTGTTTAACCAGTAGCTCATTGCTGAACCTAGAACTCTTAACATGCATGGGTTGTGTGAGTCAGGAAACTCGAAACAGAGAAATATAATCATCCACATCAAAGAAAGTCTATGAGTCGTTAATTACTCGCAACTGCGGTCTGCGGATGTCAAGTAAACGGCGAGAAATCTCTTTGGACCACCTAAACTCTCAGCAGTTGGTCCAATAGAATTCAAAGAATAGCAATTTATCTAAAACCAAAAGGAAACAGTTTATGCCATACAGACAGCAAAACATTTAATCAGCAATAATTAGATATTACAAAGCTGAACGATTGGTTAGAATTTAGAAACAGACCATGAGATGCAAAGGATTCGCATGAAGAACAGAAGCTGTAGCCAGTCTCCATAGCTGACCTCTTTCGATTAAACTGTTTATCTGCATTCATCAACATATCAATTTGCAGTCTCCATAGTCTTGACTCTTGAATTATTTAGTCAAATTTCCTTTCCAATTGTTGTCAAACCATTGTTTTCAGTTTTGCAAAAAAATGTAAATAACAATTAATTTTGTTGAGAAGTAAATATATACTGTATAACATTTCAACAAAGAATCTTCTTTTGCTAAACTTTTTTTTTATATACTCTAATGTCTTAAGTCTTTTCTTAAACATTCTCCTTATCCAAATCAAGCTGTTGTACAAAAAAGATAAAACTAAAATGTGTGTTAACATAAATTTTTATAGAATTCATATTAACACAGAATAATAACAAAAAAAAAAAAGGTAAATAAAAAAAAAAAAAAAAAAAAAAAAAAAAAAAAAAAAAAAAAAGGTTTATATACGTACGTAGCATATCACATCACATGATGAGTAGCCACATGCGACCGGCGAACTCATACTATATATAAAATTCCCAATATTATTTATACATTTGATAATATATCACACATGGAAAGTTAACAAAAATGGAGCTGCTTATATGCTTTGTGAAGCATAAACTCACTTATTTCTCCCTACGACACCTCAAATGTAAAACGTAAAACCATTATTATATAGCATGCATGAAAGTTCCCCACGTTAAGGGAGGCGACGACCGCATCAGACAATGTCTTCAATAAATGGGCCGGCGGTAAAAACAACGATATTTGTGGCATTCGTTTGGATGATTCGGAACAGTGTAAATGTGGCAGTGAGGGCGCCGTCCGGTACGATTATACTGCAATTCCCCCCTGGAAGATTAACTAGTAGATAGCAGGCACTAGGGCTAATCAAAAGCGTTTGTACGGCGCTGAGCAATACCCTAAACGTACCGTCCGGATTTGTCACTGCTTCAGCGATGGTAGTGTTTGAGCCATCACATTTTAAGTAAACGGGGGCTCCGGAAACTGGAGGGGCGTTAGGGTCTCCGCTAATGTTACACCGCAGGACTCCGTAAATTTCGCCTTGGCCTAGTCTGAGGCCAGCGATTGAAAAACCGTGGGAAGAAGTTGAAAGTAAGGCCATGGTTATGGCCATGAGAAGTATGGAAATGATATAAACATTTGATTTCACCATTTTTTTTAATTTTCTCCTTTTTACTTTGTTTAATTATGGAATGTATTTTGGTTGTGTGTCAAAGAAGCCTACGGAGAGCGGTATTTATATTGGAAAAAAATGAAAGATTTAGTTATGCGATTTTGTTACGGAATGCGTTTTCTAGCTACTTTTAAAATTTTGACTTCGCGTCTCAAAATCAGATGTATTAGTTATAAGCTTTTCAAGGTCATATCTGATATTAATATTTTCCTATAATGTATTTATGTTTTACGTGCACGATAAATTTTGAATTACTAAAATTTGTTGATTGAATTAAGAAAAACTCCAAGGAAAAGAATTGGAAATATGTGTTTTTTCAGAAAAGTTTCTATAATAATAGTAATATTGACAAAACAGTCTTTAATGTGAATTAATTAATAGTACTAGTTACGATTTTAACTACAGATGAAAATCATGCGAAGCTTATTGTTATTATTTTCCTCTCCACGCAAGTGTCTTCTAAGTTTTTTTTTTGTTTTTGTTTTGGTAGAAAAGGTCCTTTTTAGTTTTTATTTACCCAACCAACCCAAATAGAAGAGGCATTCATTTAACAAACTTCATTTGTATGAGAAAGTAAGTCTAAAACAAATGCTTATGGTGTAAAGCTCCAACCGCCATTCCTCTTTTGCGTTTTTCCAATTTTAGATCTCAAGGCTTTTCGTTAATCTTCCGTCTCTCGTTTCTGTGGTTACTAGAGCGATCGTGGTGGTTAAGTTATGTGTTCTCATCTTCTTATTCTATCGTCTTCGTTTTTGCTGTGGAGGAGATTGTGTGAGCTCATTTTAAGTTCCCTTTTCGGGCTCTCAGTTTGAAGGTAATCTAATTTTGGATTCTTTTCGAGGTTCATGTGTGTAGCATTTCTTCAACAAAATATTATATGGAAATGCTAGTCGGTTGCTTGTAAGGAAAAGTTTGCAGTGTGGTTGCTTTGGATTGTTGCTTTTAAGAAGAGTTTCTATCATATTAACAAAATCGTAGTTAATTTGTTTTGTACGAGTGGAAGAAGAAAAGATGTGTAGTGTACATGTGGATTATATCTACCTCTAATTATAATTAAATGATGTTAATTAATTAGATGAAAAATCAAGTTATTATTTCCTCTCCACGCACGTCGTCTTTCCTTGCTTTTGGTTGCCATCGGAGTCAAACTTTCGTAAGAATTAGTTCATACTGCAGGATCTTTCTGATCCACAGTAGGATCATTTTCTGGTCAGACGGGAAGGTCCAATCCAGTTTTAAACACCTTGATTCTGGCACACAACTAAGCATGCCTCAAGAAAAAAGAAAAGTAAAATGGAAACAGAAACCGCTACCTATCAGGGAAGATGATGCAACCATTGAAAGAAAGATTTAAATGTACAAACCTACCATTTGCCAAATCCACCAATTAATCCTAGCTTGGTTGGCTCTTATAAAAGCCTTTATGATATCAACCATCAATTATTTAGTAGTATAATGAAGCTGTAAACATCAATCCCTATATTCACATGGCATTGAGAGAGAGGAAGTGTTCAGCTTCGTTGGCCTCCAATCACAGACGTCGCTGTTCATTTCTCCACCGCAAAAGGAGTGGAATAGGAGCGCTGTCCATGAAGACTCTCCGACCGTCTCTTGTCGTGTACTCATATTTCCATTGTGGTCCTAGAAGCCATGACATTGCGGTTCCACCAAGCAAGCCACCAATCTGAATTCACCCGAGATGCTATCAGACCATCGATCCAAAAAATATCGGACTGGTTAGTACATTTGAAGGCATGATTGGGTTTACTTACATGTCCCCAGTTATCTATACGTCTGGACAGTAGACCCATTGTCTGCATAGCCAAAACTTGTTAGTACTTAAGAAAGATTATACAATTTTCTCTGTTGTATTACTTACCATGTTTAGGGCAATAACTTGAGCTATCTGCATTAGATCTTCATTGCCACCTCTGACCATCTGTTTGTGTCTTATAACAAATACCGCTACCGAGCCAACCTACATAAATAAAAGAGCACTCATTTAACAAATTTCATTTGTACAAGACGAGTCTAAAACAAAGGCTTATGGTTCGGTTACATCTAAACTTATTGGTTCCACGAGACTTACCAATCCGAAAATTGCACCCGAAGCACCAACTGATGGCGCTTTGTTGAACCAGTAGCTCATAGCTGAACCTAGAACTCTTAACATGGGTTGTGAGTCAGGAAACTCGAAACAGAGAAATAAAATCATCCACATCAAAGAAAGTCTATGAGTCGTCAATTACTTGCAACTGCGGATGTCAAGTAAACGGCAAGAAATCTCTTTGGACCACCTAAACTCTCAACAGTTGGTCCAATAGAATTCAAAGAATAGCAATTTATCTAAAACCAAGAGGAAACAGTTTAAGCCATAGAGACAACAAAAAGTAAGCACCATTGATTAGATATTACAAAGCTGAACGATTGGTTAGAAACAGACCATGAGATGCATAGGATTTGCATGAAGAACAGAAGCTGTAGCCAGTCTCCATAGCTGACCTCTTTCGATTAAACTGTTTATCTGCATTCATCCACATATCAATCAATTTGCAGCAAGAAACAAACTGTCTCACATTATAATTAAGTCTACAGTACCTTGGCTCCCCATGTCAGCACTTTCCCATCGGATGCAACTTGTGCAATATACATTCTGGCATCATTAACACAAAACGAAATCCATAAGCCTTTGTAGCTCATAACTCTCAAGCTTGATTCTAAAAGCATTCCTCTAATGCAACATATCAAACAAGAAGACATGAACAGAATACATACATAACGTTAATGGCAAGGAGGACATTAGTCCATCTGCGTCCGTTAACTGTGTTTCTCTTGGAAGTCTCTTGATTCGATGAACCTTCCTCACCTCCTCTAGGGTTTATCCTACTCTCTCCACCATTAAAGAAACATACAAACGACGAAGATGGGGACAATCGAATATCAACTCTAGACTTGAGGAAGTTAGTCCCATTGAATAGAATCACTCTTTGGTATCTTGCAAACTCCATTCTTGCATCATCAGAAAAATGCTGCAGTTTCTGTAGAAACAGAGCATAGTCAAATAAAAATGAGATTAACCCAGAAATCAGAAGGCCCAGGCGAAGCAATTTAAGCTTTGTGATTCCAGAAATTATACTAAAACGAAGCTCCCAAATTACGGAGAAGAGAGGAGTAGGAGAACCTGAAGGGAAGAGCGAAGATGGAAGCCAAGACGGAGGTGGCGGCTAACATGGTGGCAGGCGTGTACGGAAGCGGCGGTTGCGAAACCACGAAACGCCGTAGATCCAGATTCCGGTGGCCAGAGATTATGATGAGATAATGACATTGATACCATCTCCTCCTCCTCCTTCACGTTTCTAATTTCCCAACAATGGAGGACCTTTATTTAATTTTTTTTGCCCTTTTGCCTTCTCTTACATTTTTTTTTTGCTTTTTTTTTTATGTCGAACTACGAAATAATAATTAATTAGCGTAAATAAAAAAAAATTATTAACACACTATTTCATGATAATCAATTGATTATATTTAATTCATTAACACAGATTTGTTCCGTTTTCAGACGAGTATTTGGTTTTAATATTTGCTTTACTTGGTAAAGTTATGTTATAGGAAACTTTTGGATAAAATCAAATCAGATAAACGCTTTTATGGAAAACAACAAAATCTATATTAAGGTCAACCAAAACTTTTTAATTAGAAAAATATTTTAGTACTGAAATAATGTAGAGAGAATGACAACTCTGTTATTAGTTCACACTTTAGCTCAAGTCCTTGCTGCTGCTCTTACAGTATTTAGAATTCAAGAAGAACCCCATGTCTGGTCTCTGCACATGTGGTGTGTTCTTTCTTGTTTCCATCGTACATTATTGTTTAATGTGATTTCTTCGAAGCACATAATGTGTAAGCTTAAGGTAAAGACTATATACCTATTAAATGTTCAATTGATTTAGAATAGAGAAGATGATGTTAATAGTAGTAGTAGACGTCTGACTCTCACAGTAGCAACTGAGTAGTATTGAGACAAATTTTGATTTGCCCAAAAAAAAACCAAAAGCATAGATAAAAGAGAGAGACAAGGGATTAGCATATTGAATGATGAAGGAGGTGAGTGGTTTCTTCTATTCACAAGCCAGCTTGGTGTCAAAGCTGCTTAAGCAAATCGCAAACGCCTGAAACGCCGATAACGGATACCTATAATCCATCGTGAACATATCTTTCCCCACTTTACCAAACTGGAGAATCACCTTGTCTTGCTCTGGGTGAGCCGGTGCAGTTGCTGCTGCTGTGCCTGTCCCTTGAGGCTGCGGCGGTCTTGCTGCTACAAGCTGGAAATTCTTAACCGATGCAACTGTCACACGTCCGCGGAAATTTAAACACCAGCATTGCAACTGCTCGTGCCACCTCGGCTGCTTGTTTTTCAGAATCAACGGTCTGAAACTCGTCTCTTGTTCGTTGTCGTCGCAGGATATTCCCATTTCAGAGAATCTAGAACTACTGAAATCGAGGGAGCGGTGGTCGAATGATGATTTGGAGAAGGAGATGTTACTGCGGAATGAGTCGTCGAGAGAGTATGGTGCTGGGACGAGTTTCTCGGGTTGGTTAGGGACTGAACCTCCTGGTTCGAGCGATGAAGTTGGGATGGAGTTCATGATGCAGTGCATTCGTCGTGGCCCGCGTGTGCCCAACACGTTGAGCTCGTAGGTGATTTGAGCAATGTTGTAGCTTCCGGATGGTACTTTAGGAGAAACTCGTCTGGAGTGAAACCTGCTTCGGCTTGTTCGATCAGTGATTAGTGCGCTCGAAGATGTGTTTGGTGGTGGTTGTGTGTCGTACACCAAGAACTTTGTCCCAAGGAAGTTTGATCTGAGAGAGAGAGAGAGAAACATCAATGAGCTTGATTAAATGGGAATCACAAAACAATGGATAAATGACCATAAAATTCAACAGTAGGAAACTACTATGTGTTACTAAAAGTTCGATAAAACCGCAATTTCTTTGAAATCCTCCAAAGTTAAAGATACATTTTCTAAACACAAGAAATCCAAACCAAACATGTATCAGTCCATTCGGTTTTTATATTTGAAACCAAAATCCAAAACCAAAACCGGATCGAGCACTAGGAGATGAAGGATTGAAAACGAACCTGAGCTTTCCGAGGTAAGAGTTGCTGGATCTTGAGATGTTATCAGCATCCATGGAGATAATGTACTCGGTTCGAGTAGTTCTACGAGTTCTTTTAGCTGAAAGAAGAAATTTCCCATTCTCCACTAGTAGAGCTGAAAAAACATTATTCAACTTCTATTTAGCCATAAACTAAGTAAATAGGAAATCAAGTAGGCTAAGCCCTAACAAAGCTTACCGGGACTTAAACAAAGAAAAAGGTGAAATGTTAGCTTTGATTTATCCCTTTTGATGAAACACTGAATCATTGCATCACGAGGCCCTGGCTGGAAAATTTTACAAAACAACCAAAAAAAAAACTTATTCATCAGTAGTTTGAACTTAAACAACATCAAATTTGTAAAACAGTAGAGGGTAAACCGAACCTGTTTGAGGGAAACTGGGAAAGTGAGCTTCCCACAGATTTCAGGACCCAAAACAATCTCTTGGCACATAGCTCTCCAAGACCGACAAACCGAAGCACAAGCCACAACATGTTTTCTTGCAGGCCAATTACTCTCGCTCTCTTCTAATCTTTTGATCACATCAAAGAGTAACTCCGGAGGAAGATTAGCCCATCTACTAGTCTGAACTATCACAGGCGACAAGAGGTCACGGGAAGACGAATACTCACGGAACGAAGAACCCTGAGCTTTCCCTTTATGAAGACTGGAGAGCCTGAAATCGAAACTCCTCCTCGACAAGCTCCCAAACCCATCTCTCAAATCTTGAACAATGCCTCGAAACGACATTTCTCTCTGTTTTTCAAAGGATTCTTCTCAACAAGACCAACCCTCTCTGTACAACCAGAAATGCTCAAATCCAATAAAGAGCTTCAGACTGAGATGAGAAACTCCACTCACTGTCCATTATCATAAGAAAAAAGTCATTTAGCTAGGCAATTCTGAGTCATCTTCTTAATAAGTAAGAAATAAAAAGAAAAGAGCCAAAAAAGTAAAGTGGAGCCTAAAAGAGAAAGAGATTCCGCTAAAGCTTAGGAAAGAAGAGATATACAAGCATCGCATGCCCAATAAAGAAACTAGGTCATGTCCCCAATATAGCTTTATTTTCTTTTCTTAAAGACAATAATTAACCAAAGAGAATCTTGATGATAACTCACCAAAAATGCCCCAAAATTGAGATCATAGGAGGCTAAATCAGGACTCAATTTGATATTGAAGCAATAAAGTCATATATATTAACTAAGAATCTCAGATGATCTTTACTTAAACTGGAGATAACCAACAACATAGAATCAAGAGCAATAAAAGTTTCAACAACAATCAAAATCTGATTTAATTTTCAGACAAAACTGTTTATTACAAAGATTCGATCCCAAAAACCTGGGATTTGGTGTTAGAACATAGAATCTCACTGCAAAAAAAACATCAAAGACAGAAGGAGAAAGAGTTAAAGAATGAACCTTTTAGACAAACTGATGAAAACCCAGAAGCAGCTTAATTACATCAATCTTCAAAGACAAATCCTTTTAACTTAAGCTTCTCTGACCAAATCCAGAACCTCAGGAAGAGCAAGAACAGAAGAATCTGGGTCTGGCTTCAAAACTCAAAATCCTCCGGAAATTACGGGTAAACAGAAGAATTAGAGACAAGATCACAGAGATTTAAGCAGATCTGTAGGAGAACCCATAAAGTCAAAGAAGAACAACAAAAACCAGAAAAGATAAAGTCGTCTTCTTTTTTTTTTCTTGTTCTCTGCTTTTTTCCAGTACTCAGGAGCTTTTCTTGATTTTACTTTAATAGTTCACGAGACAGCAAGAAAATAATTAAGAATTATAAATAAATCTAGGGACTCTCACAAATGCTTATTTTCTTCTCTTCCTTGTTGGATTTTTCTATCGACTTTATATGACAAATTTTTTTAATACTATAATTTTGTGTTTGGAAGAGAGAGAGAGAGAAAGAATGAAATTGTAATAAGTGGACATTGTGAAGCATTATTGTCCACGAGGCCGCATGACCTACGCCTCGCATCAAGCAAAGACCCAACCATAGTTTTGACTTTTTTTCTAAAGTTAAAACCTTTTTTAACCAAATTTGTTACTGATAGAGATTTAACACCGTTGAATTTGGAGTCTTTTCACTGAATATTACTACAAATCATTTCAATTTTGATTATACTGTATGTTTTATCACATCAAGTTTGTTGTCTTTAAACAAAAATATATAAGTCAAATTTTGTTAGCTATATATATTATTGAATTTTAATTAAATGTTGGAAATGAGTAAATCTTTGAAGAAAGGATACAAGAAAATACCTAACCCCATTCAATCCTTACTCCTTAGTAAGTTAATAATAACTTTTTGAAAATTTGTTTAATCTAAAGGGATCTAAAACCATGTGCTAGACGAAGAATTTAGGATTTTGACACTTTTCTCAAATTTGAATCTTAAACCAGCTTATGCATGGTTTATCAAATATGATATCGTTTTTTTCATACCAGTTTACAAATTTCTTTTCCCTGTAGTTTACGACCGACACATCAATTATCAACTATAATTCTTTAAGAGAGGTTACATTCTAATCATTTGAATCGATCAAAATTGGATCGGTCAGCAAGCCTTCATGTCAAACTCATCCAACAACATCTACTCCTCCTCAAGTGAATCGATCAAAATTGGATCGGTCAGCAAGCCTTCATGTCAAACTCATCCAACAACATCTACTCCTCCTCAAGTTCCCCATCGGTTTCTTTGAATAATGCAGTCTCATTGAGGAATTCTAACTCATTTGTGACCATTGTTTTTAGCAATTCACCATTTCTCATGTACATGAAGTTGTGTTATAATATTACCATACTTTTAATAAAATATTTCAACTCTAACATTTAAGCATGCATGTTGAATATTTATTAAAAATCTAAAATCATACAATAATCCATTATATAGATAATACAACAATTGTTTACACTAATTTTTTTTTTATCAATTTTCCATCATAAGCAAACTGTTTTATCTATGGGTGATTACAAACTGTATATCGTCGGTATAGCATATTTTTGTCATGCTACTAATTCAAATTCGTATTATGCATAAACTTTTTTAACCATGAATCTATATTCCAATATTATATTCCCGCACATAGAAGATTATCATGACAATCTGTAAGTTTGTATAAAACGGTAGAGCTCGATGCTCTCCTCATATTATTAAGGACTCTATATATAGGTTTACATGAGAAGCCCTAATCATATACAAGGGTGTATTTGTACATTTATATATAGTCTAACACGCCCCCTCAGTCGGAGCAGGAGGCTCTCGTATGCTCAGACTGGACTTGAAATCAAGGAAGAGTGTTGTTGGGAGTCCTTTGGTAAAAATATCTGCATATTGAAGTGCAGATGGAACATGGAGAACTCGTATTTGGCCTAGTGCAACGCGTTCCCGAACAAAGTGGATATCAATCTCAACATGTTTTGTCCGTTGGTGTTTGACAGGATTTGTGGAGAGATAGACGGCACTTACGTTATCACAATAGACCACCGTTGCGCGGTTAAGCGGACATTTGAGCTCCATAAGAAGATTACGTAGCCATGTGGCTTCAGAAACGGCATTGGCAACACCTCTATATTCAGCTTCGGCACTTGATCGTGAGACGGTTACTTGTCGTTTGGATGACCACGAGACTAAGGTGTCACCGAGAAAAACACAATAACCGGAAGTTGATCGTCGAGTGGTCGGACAACCTGCCCAATCTGCATCGGTATAGACAACAAGACTAGTGGGAGCTGATCGGTTTAGTTGCAGGCCATGAGAAATGGTACCTTTGATGTAGCGAAGTATACGTTTTAAAGCATTGAAGTGCGTCTCGCGAGGATCATGCATAAATAGACATATTTGTTGTACCGCAAAGGAGATGTCAGGCCGAGTAAACGTGAGATACTGTAAGGCACCTGCGAGGCTGCGGTATAAGGTAGGATCTTTTGATGGCGGCTAGGGTTTTGTTTGCTCTGATACCATGTAAGTTTGTATAAAACGGTAGAGCTCGATGTTCTCCTCATATTATTAAGGACTCTATATATAGGTTTACATGAGAAGCCCTAATCATATACAAGGGTGTATTTGTACATTTATATATAGTCTAACACAATCTAGATGATCATCTAGCAGTAGTTATCATTACTGGTTACAACATAATTATATCTATGGATCTTAGTGACTTTTAAAGTTTAGGCACGAGTCTCTCTTGCCCCTTCAGCTCCTGCAATTCAAGGTACATCAACATCAGTTGCAAGTCCACTTATATTTCCACTCAGTTACAAAACCAATCATCCCACAGCTTCTGATCTGATTCTAGTAGACAAACACGTATTAAGTTTCATCCATACAAAATCCCGATTTGTTACATGGTATATCTGACCGCATAGTACAACCTTAACCGACTGGTAAGGAGTGCTTCTAATCAAACAAATATCATGGATTGGTCCGGTAGGGATCTGGTTTCATTATTCTACTACATAATTAAATATTTTTACCGACGACGAAAGAGAAGACAAGACGTGAGTAAGCCGGTTCTTAGTACTAGTTTTAGGTTGATACTAACATGAGAAGTTATAGTTGCAAACTAATTAATTAGATCTCAGTTAGACCAGCTGATCCGGTTCTCAATACATTTTAAAGTTGATTACAAACTAGCATTCGTACTTTAATCAACCATTGTAGCTGTTATTATTTATTGGTTTCAATAACTACATACATATTACAGAATATGTTTTCCAGAGATACGATTATAAAAATAAGATTACAACATAATTAAATCTAGATGCATGGATCTTGGTAAAATATAAAGTTCAAACACCAGTCCCTCTTGCCCTGGCAGCATCTGCAATTACAAAAAACATCAACACCAGTCCCTCTTGTTTTTTCAATTTAATTACAAAAACAACTAATCCCATAACTTATAATCCGAATTCAATAGACAAACACTATGACATATCAGAATTCCGATTTGTTGCATGCAAAATATTCTACAACCTTAACCGACCAGTTAATCAGGGTTTGACACAAATCAGACAAACGTATCACAGACCGGTCCAGTACGGATCCGGTTTCATAATCTTTACCTGGGCCACAACGAATGGAGCACTTGCGATCACATCGGGACGTCTTTCTAGCTGAAGAATAGAGAAGATCAACAGGAAATTATTATACAGATGATGATAGAGAAACCGTTGGAGGAAACTAAGAAAGAAGAGAGTACTCACAGTCACGTTGGACGCACGCGGTGGAGCAACCGTCGTAACAGTCTCCGGGGCCTAATTGAGCCTCCGCCACCATATCCAAGTTGGAAGATAAAGCCATCAGAATCAGAAGAGCCGCCACGATCGTCACTTGCTTCTTCATCATTCTCTTTTCTCTCCTTAGATTAGATCTTTTTTGTTTTTGTTTTTCCTACTTCTTCGAAAGTGATATTTTGTGGGTATTTAAAGAAATGTCCCCGTTGCCAAGTTTGACCTTCTTTTTTTTGGCCAAGTTTGACCTATAGTCCATGTTCACGTGTCATGATTCCTCTCCTAACGTTATCTATCCCTTTAATTTTACGCCAAAATTTGTCTACTGCTTTTTCTTTTCTTCGACATTGGACTAATAATTGTTTTGGCAATAACGGTGGACAACTTAACTACATAATTTACATTAGATCAAAGTGAAAATCTACGGTGTACATCGCACGGAAAGCACGTATAAATCCATTAAAAATTTGACAGTTTCTTAGCACATGCAACATAACATTCAAAAATTTGATGTTGAGTTCCAACCTCGAGCCAAAAAATAAAAAAAAAAGGTAATAAAACGGTAGATAAAAACCACATAGGTCATAGGTGAAGACTAATCACTTCAAAAACATAAAACATGTAATGTTGTGGCGGAGTTGTCATAATTTCTTACGCCGAATTTACGGCTTAGAGCCTTTGACAATAAAACAAACTAGAAATAGAAAATCGCATTTTAGAGGTTTAATTAAGTATCAAGTTGTAATTATGTTTTAATATTGAAATCACGTTGAAAGCTAATTCAAAGAGATACTTCAAAGGCTATTCACACCAATTCGGGCAATCAGATAGATCTTAATTCACTTATCAACCCTATATTCTATTTTGCTTCTACGGTAGATCTAAAACTATATTTGATGATGTAACCCATATGGGGGATTCAGGGGACATCTCTGTTTACTGCTGAGAGATTGCCAAGGTCCAGTTCTTTGTTATTCTTATTTGTTACAATATGGTCTGATGTCGTAGAGGCACTCTTCTTTTCCTTCATTTTACACCATACCACTAGGTATACTCCTCCCACCATTATCATGGCACCGATTATACTGCAAGTTTCGCAAAATAAAAAATAAAAACGATTTAAGATTCACACATATCACCCACAAAAATCATTAGGTTAATTAGTGGACACACGATCGAGTTTGATATACCTTCCCAAATGAAGCGGTTCCTCTAAAGCAAATGATCCGATAAGGGCTACGATCACCAGCCTTATAGGACTAAAGACCGTAACAAATAACGGTCCTTTTGTTGCGATGCACCATGCAATCAGAGGCACGACTATTCCCGAAACCAC